CACCGATGGGCGATAATATTTCGTATCTGCCCCCAAAGAGCGCCGCGCCTCGGGCTGCTCTTAGCAGATCATACCCTAATACGACCCCGCGGGAATCGAAAACGCCTTTTATTTTAACACATTATATCACGCTGATGGACAAAATGGGCTAGCCGTTTCAGAAATATAAAAATTTTATTATAACATTCGATTTTAATTGAACGAAAAAAAGTATTTCTTAATCTCTTTACACATCTTTGTTGAAAACCTTGTTGGATAACAAGAGGTAAAGCCCATCACGTTGTAGCAGTGGAAATTATTTTCTGATTTCTTAAGCGGCTTTGCAAATTTGATGCGGTAATACATAGAATAAATCTAACTGGAGCGCGGGTGGGCGGGGGCGGGCGCCACACTTGGTGAAACCGCTCGCAGCGCAGGAAGTTCGCTTGCGGCCGTCTCAAATTATAATATTTGCCGGCACCAAACCGCACCGAACTAATTCGCTGCCAAATTAAATATTTCGACATCGTCTCCACATTAAACTTTATCGCGTTTGTACGAGAGGTACTTCCAAAATTTACTTTGCCAAGTCCTCATCAAACAGAAACATCGAACTTCAGCTAACTAAGTTTAGGACCGATAAAGCGCAAAACGAGTAGAATTTTAATATCAACTCGTCAGCGAAAGCTCGGTCTGCAAACGTTAATCGGCTTTTGACGGGACATCGCTCAAACTCTAGCTCAAATCACCGCGGGCGTTGTGTATTTATCATCCACCTACAATCTACATTATAGCGGATTTCAACTCCTCATTTTAGACACGAACCTCGTTATTCGGGAACATCTAGAAGCTCCACTGCGCCGCACATGTTGCAAACACAGTGCAATAACTCGCGACCCTACAAGTGTTAACCTCGCAGACATTCTGCGCTCGTAAATAACGTTATTCGTGCGATTTAAAGAAATCGCTAACACTGAAAATAAGAGGTCGAATTGATTTGTGCTTTCAATATCCAAGTTAACGGCTCCAACTCATATTTCGCTCAGATCACGCGCCGCTCCACTAAAATGCATCTGTTCAGTGTTCGGTGCCGAATAAGTCTTCCACTTAATGTTAAAATCGACACTATTTCACACACTGCATGCTGCTGTGTCGCGCATGCATTTTCTACTAGCAACATTTTATACAAGGCATCACATTTAATATATATTTTTTTTTACAAAAATGTAGTTGGAAGTGGTAGCCCAGTGGTCAGGTTGTGGCGCTTGGTTGAGAAACCGAGTGAAGCAGGTTTAGTTTAGTAGAAGTCCCAGGTGTCACACCTCTGATGTGTCATTATGCCAATCATTTCCTACATAATTACCACTTGCCTTTCGGTGAAGGAAAACATCGTGAAGAAACCTGCATGTCTGAGAGAACCTAGCAAGTTTTTATTCCGCGAACCCGCACTTGGTCAATGTGACGGACGAAGGCCATAGAGCCTGATCCCCTTCTTATTGAAGAGAGGCCCGCCCCCAGTTAATTAGGGCTGAACACTATACAAAAATTATATTCTAGCTCAAAGAGAGATTCGAGAAAAAAAATATGATTCTCTCTAGTCCAGAAATTTTGCAAAATTCACTACCGTACTGTTATTATGTTGTTGCAAACATTAGAAATATTAATAAAGAATACATATAATATTTATAATATTAACAATGTTGTACAGAAACTAGACCCATATTCTTCAACCAGTATACTCAATTCAGTACCTCAGAAGTACATCAATGCAGGAGTTAAAACTAAACTAAACACATACGGTACTTTATGTTTGAATTTTTCATTCCCCATGGTTATAACGTAAACGCTAACCACTTCCCTAATGCGGTGCCTGCATTAGAAACTTCGCAATATTTAATAAGTTCCGTTCAGACAGGAAACAGATTAGTTTGTTGAATTTGAGTGAGATAAACATAATCATAAGAATGGATGCGAAGCGACGAAATATGATATTCATGTTTGGTATACATATATTTTTATTATAATTACTGTGATATAGTGCCTGATGGTATGGTAATTACAAGCGTTAACAATAGATAAAAAATCCAAAATTTTCAATACTGAAAACAACATGTACCACCAGTGAAATTCTGAGTCGAATCAGTAAATTACATATTTTTTGAAAAATCTTATTTACTATCATTGTAATCGATACAGAGGCCAAATCTACAGTTTTTAGAATGTTTGTCTGTTTGTTTGTCTATCTGTCTGTCTGTGTGTGTGTGTGTGTGTGTGTGTGTGTGTGTGTGAGAAAACCACTAGACAGATTTTAATGAAATTTGGTATGATGATGGCTGGTTATCCGGGTCAACATTTAGGATACTTTTAATTGCAGAAAATATCTCATCTCTGAGAAGTCCATACTAACCGTTAAAACATAACGAGGAAGAGTCTCTAGTTTTAAATAAAATATACTAAAAATTCTATTTTAATGAATTTCCAATTGTTTTTTTTTTTCATTTCATTCAAATCACAGTGTTGCAGCAACAAAATAATCTAATTGTTTGAGCTTAAAAATATTGAAAGATTCGTGAAAAATATTCTATTAGAGAGTTCTCTCTCGTACGTAACTTTTTATCCTATATCATTAAGTCATTTCTTTAACACAATGTACACAGTACATTTTTCGAGGGGTGTAAGTAGTTAGCGAAGAGGCCATATCATAGTATGTACGGCCCGAATAACAAAAAGAAGAATCATGGTGGTGCTAATAAATAACCGTTACTTACAAAAACAGGTATACCAACTTCAAAATCACTTCGAAGTAATTATTCCAGTGGAACTTTGAACGTTAATTCATTAATTAGAAATTTGAAAATCGATTCACAATTATTAGCAAAAATATTGCGTTCTTACAGCAAGCACCCGAGTTTTACATATTCTCTGTTACTACTACTTTTAACCTTCAGTTTCAGCACTGGTTGGTCCGGTCAAGAGCTGCCCGAGAATAAAACCTATGACCTCTGTAGAAGCTAGTTGAGTGCTGAAGCTAGCTAGCTAGAGTGCATGCCATAGCGACGCTTGATAAAATACGATAATTAAATGAACTTTTATTTTATTCTCGAAACTGATTTAAATTACAACATACCAAGTATATTATGAGATTTAATAAAAGACTTATTACTTTGAAACATAAGCGCAATTAATAATCTAATTTAGAAAAGCGTTTAAGAAAATACGTGACAAATTGAGTGCCGTTTAAAAAGCACACTTAAATAAAGGTGAGGAGTGAGAGGAGGAGTGCGGGGAGGTCCCTCTCCTGGAGGACAAATTCACCTGTTAGGCTTGATTAAGCGTGTCGGCGCGGAGGGCGGGGTGAGGGCAGCCCGAGGGCGCGTTTTAATTAACAGGATAGTTTTATCAGGTCTTTGTCGTAGCACCCTTTAGCGTTTCGACGCCCTCTCGACTGCTCCGAGCGGTGTGTTCTATTATATTCATATTAACGTTGATAGCAGTGATAACATCTTGTCTAAGCTAATATAATATAATATTAGTTTAGAGTTTAGTATAATATTATATAAGGAAAAATAAATAATTAAAATATACTGTTTTTTGCTTAAAAGGTTTAGTTTTGAAATTATAATAACCCTTATTTAAAAAATATTTTAACTGGAAATTGATTTTTTTTTACTTAAAAACAGCTTTTTAATAAATATATAAGCTTTCTAAAAGCCGCTGGGGGCTTTCATTCATTTGTCTGATGAGCACCAAAGTTTGTACTCCAGTCATGAGTGTTTATATTTATAAAATGTTATATGTATGTATTCAGTCCTTTTTAACGTCCTACAGCTGGACACGGCCCTCCCTTCAGTACGAGGGGAATCAGGCCATGGTCCACCACGCTGGCCAAGTGCGGGTTGGCGGACTTCACATGTCTTTTGAAAACTTGCTAGGTTTTCTCAGACATGAAGGTTTCCTCACGATGTTTTCCTTCACCGTTAAGACAAGTGGTAATCAATCATGTTGGAAATGATTCGCACATAAAAATATCAGAGGTGCGAGACCCGAGATTTGAATCCGCTTCACTCGGCTTACCACTGCCTAAAATGTATATATTTAAAGTTATATATAATTGTAGAGAAACAACTATCTGGTATCTTCCTACTAGATAGTGATGTGCGTTAATGTCCCCAACATACTTATTTATTATTTATTAAGAATACCTACTTACTGATGAAATAAAAGATTTTTTTACATTTTACGCCATTTGTTGTTTAAATATGTTTTGGTATTTTAATTCAATTCTAAGTAAATAAGATTATGAAAAAAAAAACATCTTTTTTAAGTGAATAAAATATCTCGACGTCAATCACCACTTGACGCGTCACAATTATTGTCTCATAGTTCGCTACGAATGGACGCTGTCTTCATCACCACGTCGGTCCTGGCGATACTTACGTAGATATGTCTGATGAATAAAATATATTCTCAGTTGTGTGAAAATATTTGTTGATTCATTTAGTTTAAACGTTTGTTTAAGTTTCAAATTACATTTCGTAGCTCATTCTATTCCAAAGAAATTTGTGTTTAGATTTAAAATACATATATTGTATGTTTGCAAATTTTCCATACTTAATTTTAAATTGACGATATATTTTTTTATCGCATTATCATTTATGTGTTTTAATGAAAACGAAATTTATATAAGTTGAGACCATATTACTATGATTAAAACAACCCTACGTGTTGCTTAAATTTTTTGCCGAATGTTATCTAAATCCGCTCATATTACCGCGTGGTTGACTAGGAATGAACAATCAAACATGTTAACGAACTTCATAGTTATGAACATCAAAAAATTGTAATTGTAATAATCAAAGTATTGTAGTTACAATAGTTTTTATATTGGCAACCCTCACTTCACTCGGTTGCGTCTCCTACGTGCCTAATAGTAAATTTCATACAAATCTGTCCTACTCTACCTACAAGCCTTCGCATTATGATAGTACTCCGATTAATATCATGGTGTTTACATTGACCAGGCCTGCAACGGGCCCGGCGCGTCGTGGACGTGGGGCGCGCGAGGCGCCACACCGGCCGCCGCCATCGGCCGCAGCGCGTCCGCCTCGCTGCGACCGGCGCCCGACCTCAACGTCGACGCCATCAAGGAGAAGCTGTTGGACAACCGGATTCCGGAGTCTTGTGTGTAGTTAACCTTACCGACACCTTGGTTAGTTTTAAATATAGGAACATTGAAAACTATTCCTTCCTTCATCGTATCCGAACTCCCATTCGGATATCGTATCTAATTTTGTAAAAACACTGTAAAAGAAACACGATATGTAGTTCCTGAACCTAATTAATGATTCTAAAGTGTTACTAACTTAGTCTTATTTGATTCACTCACAGTAAAAAAGTCGATAAAGAATTTTTGGCTGGATTTTAATTGTAACTCGCATCAGCCTTCAAACATGCGATTTACGTGTCGTTTTAAAATTATTTTCTTGGACTATTTTAATATAGTAAGGACAATGTCCTTAGATAATAAAATTGTAAATACTATTACTGAAATTTCAACGTGTCGACTTAAATTGGTTACATCGTAGTTTTGTTTTGTAAGCGAGTAGCGCCCACTCGAGGCTGATGCGGGACTCTCACGCTCCTCTAATTAAAGTACCGTCTGCTCCTCCGCGACCCTCGACGCGGAGTAGTACATTGTACCGCTTTGAATTCACGGACAGACCGTGTGTTTCGTCAACTTTGTCCTATGTAAATGTGTAGCTGAAGCCATCTACGTCTAGTAAGTTAGGAGAGTCGGTTTTGGTAAGGTTTGTTTCATTTATAGATAGATCTAGTAAAAATATAGTTAAGTATCAAATGTTTGCTGAATTTTGATTTTATCGATAGTTATATTTATTAGGACAATTTTTTTCTATCGAATCATCAGCGTTATTGAAATCGACTATCCGTTTCGTAAGTATTGTATAATTCGGAGACTATAATTCTGTTATTTCTTTTAGATAAATCCTGTGATGTAAATAGTAGGTTGTAAGTGACTGAGTCTTTGCCACTTTTTTACATGTCTACGAATCTAGCTAATTTGTCGACTACGATAGTGACGTCATCGATGTCTGGAGCGAGCTCCCTGTATATAACTTTGTAACTTCTCGATGTTAAGGTTTCCAAGTCGGCTTAGTTCGGGAGCGCCCGACGCTCGGAGTGAGTCGTGGCGCGAGGCCGTTGGCGAAATACTATTCAACAAACTAATTCAACAAAAATAAATAATTTTAATGTTCACTGCAATTTTATAGAACAAGTTGTTAAAATAAATTTTGCTTTCAATTGAAATTCAAGAACGTTTCGACCGCAGTGCCGTTTCCAATGAAATACAGTTTGTGATTTTCATTTTTCCATCAATTTATTTCAATATTAATTGCAAAATTAGTTTTCATTCGAGTATCACCTCTTCTGAGCGCAGAAATACAGCGAAATTGTGATATTTATGGAAATAATCCTTAAATACGAAAATATTATTTACTTAAAACATTTGAATGGCTACAGACGCTGTTTTAATTTAAATTATTATATATTTATTATTATAGTACGTAATGACTCGCAAAGTTGACTGGAAGCTCCAATGACACGCCATAGCCACGAAGCGTGGCCAAGCGGGTACTTCACTGTGACCGCACTTCAGATTCAATTTATCAACAATACATTTTATTTCTTTATGAAGCATATCTGTAAATAACACTTGAAAAACCATCGGAACGAGCTCAATAGATTAACCACAGTTCATCAAATATCTTTTCTTACTAGTTAACAAACATAAACAATAATGATGCGTGCTCTGCGACTCACTCGCTACCAGCGTCGGGTATAGGAAATATTCTATAATAAGCATTGTACAGAGTTCGTGACGGCGATAAAATGATCCCCGACTTTTAGGTATAAACTAAGTTTTAACATATCTGGACGTTATCTGTCACATAGTATTCATCTAACGTAATATTGATGTAAACATTGTTCAACTCTTACATATCTTTCATTACTTTTGAACATATCTTCTACACATATCGAAAAAGTTTGATTTGTGGATCACTAGTGACCCCTTGCTTCGCTAAAACCACACATTTTACCACCATTTTTTGGACTCCCATCATATCTTTTGGAAACCCTATCACAATGATTACGCAAGGTGTTTAAAGGCTTATAAGACTCTTACTTGTTCGAACCAACAGCGGAACCTGTCGTCACGCTAGTGAGGATCTGTAGAATTGCTTTAGCTTGCACTTTAACACCCCCATTACGCTCATTACGCGTCATCATAGCTTTATGCTTTTATACATAAGAGCTATCCGCAGAAATCACCAGCAATGTCGGGTATAATGAAACTTATTACCTTTCGATACATAAACTTCTACCACTTACAAAAACAAAAGTAAGAATTTGTAAAATTTTACCTCTTGATATTCTTTTATTTTGCTTTGAGGAATTTTCAAACACTATAATTCTGGAACTAACATCTAATATTATTGTAATCTTATTTTATCCTTATTTTAATATATGTGTAAAAAATGTGAAGAAAACATCCAAGTTTTGGAAATATTTTCAAATGTTTCTTTTTAGATACCAAGTCATATGGCTGCATTGCATTACCCCGCTGTAGCGGTGCATGAATAAAACATCGCTACGACGCTCGCTCGCGCCCCGCTTCTTGCTATACTCATGTTATTGATATTTCAATCTATATTTTTAATAATATTAATATGAAAAAAATTCTGGAACATAAATCGTTTTCAGACCTTTTTCTTAAAAGAATAACCACTTAGAGCTTTTTGTAATTCAAATTACGTAAGCGAATTATTCAAATTGCCGATTTTTACTTACCCTTCGCAAGTCTTTTTTACTTCATTGCCATAAGATTTAATGCCTAATCTATACATTTCTTTCAAAATTAGTCGTGGAAACAAAACAAATAGAGTTATAAATATATTTTTATCATAATTCCCAAGCACAGTCTTTCCGGGCAACACAGTACGGCGTGCTACCATACAATATTGTCAAAAACATTTTCATTTTCTATTTTCGTGAGTGTTTTATTTTCTTTGAAATTAAAAAACAAATCGTAACTTCTGTCTGTTGAATATGTTGGAGGCGGTCGCCGGCCGCGGCTTCACGCGACGCGCTATCTAGCCAATATTGCCGCATTCACTGTGCAAAAAAACTGTTCGGTCGCAACGCCGCGCACTGTAGAGTGTAGGTGCAACAAAAAGCACATTAAATACGCGAGCGTCACGCTGCGAGTTGTCGACTTACTACAGACAGCAACACTCTATCTCTAGGTGTATTTACTAGAGATGATTATTAGCTGACTTCAAACTATTTCCCAATTTAACTTTTTTTTACATATTTGTGTGTATATTTCGTATTTTTTTTGAATATGATTGTAAAGGCATCCTTATCTTATCGAGTATTAAATAATTTAAAGAATATCCTCCTTACAGCGGGAATAATGCAATGTAACCGCTAATAATTACAAATTTAACCCGCTATATGTTACTATTTTCTTTGTTAATATTCATTTATTTATATCAATGAGGTTTCAATTGGACGATTGTCAACTAACCATTTTCATCTACATATTAGGTATATTAAACTCTATTAATGCTTATTAAATTTTCCTTATTAAAGCAAATTTAATTAGATTTACTGGCATTTTAGTATGTATAATTATAATAATTTTGTATTGTATCATTTTTGTGTACGTAATATTTTATATTACTATGACTATTTTATATGTTCATTTGAGGAAGTTTGTAATGTATCGAATAGTAGATGAATGAGATTGTATATAATGTACGTGTTGCTGCCCTTCACATTGTAATGGTCTACTATAAGAGCCAGTGCAGACTGCAGACTTTCTGTCGAGCGATAATAATTAATATGAATACATAACTCAACCAATTCATTATAATGTGTTTATTTGTATGCATCATTATTGTAGAAGCCCAACTAACCTATCATCTGATGGAAAGTCCGCAATGTATGAGGCATCTACAGAGTATGTATGGATTGCGTAGAGCGCTCTGTGTAAGTCTGTCGCACGTCAAATGTCAAGAGTCATGTGTCGCGTGTCGCATGTCGCATGTCGCGTGTCGCGTGTCGCATGACGCATGTCGCATGTCGCGTGACGTCATATCACCGCATATCACTGTCGAGCTTTATTTTATCATCGACCGACTGATCTTCATGGACATAGTAGGAACTATTGTTAGATGTTTACTTCGTAAGTGATTTGTTAATATAAAGTTTAAAAACAACTCAAAGAGTTTGACCTACTGTTGACTTATTTATTTTGGACGAGATTAAAGGTTGTCTTGGAAGTACATTATGTGTTTTATTTCGCAGCGTGTTTTAAAATGCATCGAGCGAGCTCAGCCTGAAAGCGGAGTCGTGTCTAGACGAAGGAAATGTGCAGAGATTACGGATATAGTACGAAAATAGCTATTTTTTAAACATCTGATTCGAACTTGTATTCAGCCCTTTATAACGTCCCCCCTCCCTTCAATACGAGGGGGCCTTATAATTTACATAATATTATAAACTATACTGCAAAGTGTCTCATACAAAATCGATCAAGTGCAAATCAGAATCATGCATAGAGGATTCTGTTACGTACGAAAATACGTGTATAAAATAGCGCGATATTGTCTCTCCCTTGACCAGTAATATTAATTTACTAATTAGTTAAAGATCTTTACGAGTACTGATTTTTTTTTAATTGTATTGAATGTGAATGTCGTTTGTAATGAAATTTTTTTTTTACTAAAGGTGCAAATATATTATCGTTAGAAACTAACACAACGCGTATTTGCTCGAAGGCCCTATTAGCTCCATTCTGCTCTCTCATTGTGGACTACTTTTGTAGTTTCCAATTTACTTATATTCCAACGAAACCACTTAGTATATCAAGGTAAAGTTAAAAAGTACCTCGTATTATTAAATCTGTAAACAATATTTGTATGTTGCTAAAAGAACTGCTATGTTTCTGAATGAAGACAATAATCAACAATCGTTCTTTTGCATTTAAAACATTAATAAGAATAAAAAATATTTTATTAGTTTCAATAAATAAAGCGCGCGTCGCACGGCCGGGCGGCGCGGCGGTTCCGTCGCATTGTGCCGCGCTCGTAACTCATCTGCCGGATTCACACCCTCAGGCCGCGACTCGCGCTATGGTAATCACACACGTACAATGGCCGCCCAAAAACAATGCCAACTTCCTTAATATTATGACCTGATGTATGAGCATTGTGTGGAGAAACTTTAAGCCTTACTCTTTAACCTCGCTGCTCATTTGCATACTCCCGCGTCAGGCGCTGGTCGCTGGGCGAGTCTGTTCTATGGAATTGATGGATATTATGGTTATCTCTTCTAAGCACCGGAAATAATAAAAAAAATACGGAAATATGTATTTTTTGGGTGTACGTTATAGATTTTTTTCTTTTGCGGTTATTTAATTCTTTACTTCACTCTACTTTATTTTACATTTTAAAGTACATTTTTTATAAATGTTAGATATTTAAATTTATGTTAATGTGGAGCTATATCCTTTTCAGCTTGCGCTCTCGATTTTATAAAGATATCACAAAAGCAAAATAAATAGCTATTTATATAGCTGTAAATATGTATGTATGTGATGCTTTCATGGACAAATCTGCTTCAAATTTTCCTTCAAAGTTAGGCAGGTACTTTCTGCTTGTACCCTAACGTATGTTATACGTCCCTAAAACTGCACAGTATTTCTAGAACAGTAACTTTGTTTGGTAAACATTTTTAATTTCAATAAACGGTAGTTGTGAGTTATCTACATACAATATCTAAACAAAGTAGGTACGTAATCGTAGTAATATTATTTTAGTACATTTCATCTGCTCCGCGGCTATTGAATGCAATAGATATACGAGAACAGTGTTTAATTAGCAACAAATGACGTATTACATATTGACATAGTACCTACCATAACATACTAACTTTCATATATAACTCTATTATACACATATAGCCACTAAGTATCTACTAATATGGTTCAACACAGAAACACGAGGTATTACCTGCATAGAATTAGTTGTCTATTCCAATAGAATGTTATCAGATAGGTTGATTATACATCTGTTTGATTAATCAAAGGCACTTTGTCTTTTAGCCGCCAAGCATCAAAAGATTTAGTCTACACAGCTACAGGTAAGTCAAGAGAACTGGAAACGCCCTCGAATCAAAAGTGATCCCACTAATATCTGCCATTACTATGAATTATACAAAAGGATTAAATCAGAGGCTTTGACCGTATATGTGATCAACAATAAAGCTAAAATACATTACCTATATATATATATATTTGTGTAATTATTATCTAGGCACCTCTAATCGCAGCTCTATTAGATTTAGTTAGTCAAAGTTTTAATAAGTCGGTATACCATAAAATAATACAGTATGCTTAATTTAAATTTGCTCTCACGTTACAATTAGTATCATGTGATTTGATTTTTATGTATACGCGTTCAATCTACAAAAAAAACTCTTTTACTTTATGTTATACAGCCTATATATTTATATGATATTGTTCATACAAATCGAAAAAAATACTTAAATCGAGATAAAAAATGGTGGGTGAGGGTATGAGTGTGTAAAATACTTTAAGACCTATTCTCAAACCAACCAAATATACAAAAATTATTACAATAAAGATCATTAAAATCGGTCAAGACGTTTCGGAGGAGTGCGACCACAAACACCGTGACACGAGATATTTTATATATTAGATATTTAATACCAATTACGAAATATATTAACAAAACGATGTCAGTTTGCAAAATCGGAAACCTGAATCTGACTCAAAATAAATAAATTAATTAATAATCCAAAAAATGAAATATAGTTGTTTTAAACGATGAAGGCTATAAAATGCAAAAATAATGAAGTCACGGATTGCTTACAGCCCAGTTATTGTAGCAACAAGGAGACGGAAATATCGCATTTCCTTCGTTAAAACGAACAGACAATTGAACTTTGCATCTCCTATAATGAGCATTGGTATCCAGTGTCCGGGACTGTTCCACCGACACAATGCAGGGCAAGATGCACAAGGTTTGAATCCTGGTCAAGCCAAAAGGATTCTTTCCAAGAGTGTTCGTATACAATTCACTAAATAGTTTAAGTTGAGTATAGGAACGTAGTATAGGAACATTTCACCGCCTTGAACAAAACCGCAAGGAAAGTTGATTATATCCCATTGCACTAAGAACTTCTTAAATTAGAAAGTGCAATTAGGTTTGCGCACATTCTTTTTAAAATGCTATTCTATTCTAATATATATAGGTATATATATATATATATATATATATATATATATATATATATATATTATATTCAAATTGGTAGGCGTGTTGGTTATCAGGCACGGGAAGATATTATTTACTAAATAAATAATGAAGTAGCGTTTAGAACCTAAGACGTCATAATGGAATCTTTGTTCGTAGTGTCCACGACAAATATTATTTGCATGGAAACGTCTTCTTTAAAGCGTGATCCCACGCAATTAACTTATGTCATTTCTATGGTTTTCCTAGCATTTTATTCTGCGATATCGCTTTGAATGGAAGATATTGAATATTCTCGTAAGTATAAGTATGTCATGGTATTTGTTTAGATGAAATTATTTAGCAGACACTATAATTTGTTAGAACCATTATGCTTGTACAAAATATATAGAAAATACGTTTTTGATCAAACTTATGTCAAAGCAACAATTATATATTTGTTCCTTTTTGCCAATAATTAAGTTTCCCAATAATAATATTTTAATTCATTTTCATTTAAGTACGTAAAACGCCTACGTTATTTAAAAAGCTAAATGTATATACCTTGAATTTGCTAATCAATAAAATGAAAATAAAACAATAAACTGTGAATAAAAATAATATTTATAAATACTATCCATTAGCGTTCATTTATTTTATATTACAATAATCTAAAATACCTAAATTTTTTAACTTTAACTTATAAAAAAGAATCTTTAGTCATTTACTTGTTTAAGTACACTTAGTTATATTAAAAACATTATTATAGAAAAATACGTATGAATACATAATATTATATCTAGTAACAAATAATTTCATTCAAATATTATTAGCTTATGCACTAAATTTAATTATATTCGATTGCAAATCACATAACTTCAGAGAACTAGGTATAGGGTACCTATAGGGTAATCCTAGTTTTTCAATAATACCTATATATTATAAGGCTACATTTGATTAAGTATACGCAACACATAATATTACAAAAATCCAAAAACTATAAATACAGGTAACATAATTTCAATAGTACTTTGAAAATAATAAATAATATGCCAGTATAACGATCTCTACATACTCCGTGTAGTATTAATAAACTTCGACGCTCTCCTGATGCAGCACGGTGTCCTGTCTAAACATTTCGACGTCCACTTCGCTGTCCGCCTGCATTAGCTTGGCGCGGCCCTCCTGTGCATAAGTAAACGTATTAAGAACTCTACATATTGAAATATTTCATGGGACTTTATAACAGTTATCTTCTTATAATTTTACTTGGCTTGGGAAGTTATTTAAGATATTAAAATCATAGAAATTTTTTACTTGTATGAAAGAGCCCTAATGTTATATTTCTAAAGCACTAATACCTAAAGCACTATTTTTTTTATTTGATCTTCTATTTTAGATATCTTGAGTAGTAGTGATCATAGAAACTTCCAGGAGTACGTGCTGGCTATTTATTGAGCATGTACCTGCGCGGTTTCATAAAAATTCTATTTCAATTTTCTGCCCTGTCATAGTCACCAATTTGACGTTTATATCTACAGCTTTTTTTTACATGAAACTTCAATTTTTGCTCAAAAATTTATTTTTTAAATGCGACTGAAATAGAATCTAATCTTAGAATATATTTTTAGTTTAATTACAAATGAAAATCAAGTTAAAATAAAGAAAATAATATTATTGGAGAGATTGTCGCTTAGAGGGCCGTATCCTCCTACTACTCAACGAAATTATATATATAGATTAAGTAAACAAACCAAAACAACATTTTAATCACAGTATAAAATCTTGTTTAATATGATTTTAACTAGAATAATGTAAAGTTCAGGGTTGTCAAAAATACCAATATCCATAGCCAACGGTTTTAAACGAACGACGTGAAGTTGAGGCACTGTAATGCCACCTCATGCAAGTTGTACCCGTCAACCCTAAAGCCGTTTCCCAACTGTTGTATAAGATTAAATATAAAAGAAAGCGTGTGTGTGTGTGCAATTCAAACATGGTGGAAGTGAAACTTCAGAAAAATAACTTACGAGAGAATGAGATGACGATATTATATAAAGTATCAGGAGTAGGGTAATTGTAAGTTTTAGTTTTTTGTTTTACCAAGTTTAAAAGTTATTTTATATTTTATGTAACATATATTATTACATAACATATTATTCAGTATTATTTTTCACTTCCCGTGTAATGTGCTCTATCTCATTCTCTCGCCGGCTTAATCTTATATATGTTTGTCTCTTATTAGTGTCGAATTTCCGTTTCATCGAGTTTCAAATCACAACGATTCTAAAGAAGTTTCACTTTAACCCCCGCCCCGCAGCGTTGCCCTGTTTAGACGCCTTCGTTATAGTATTGTAATTTCAATAGAGAAAGCAAAGTAAGATTACCTTAGGGTGCATGAGTATGAAGGGCAGCTCCGCGCTGAGCTCGCCGCCGAGCGCGCCCAGGTACAGCTTCACCTTCACGCTGTAGCTCACCACGATACCGAACGCGTCGCGTTGTTCAGGATCCAATAATCTAATATTATAACAAATAAATATTTTGATAAATTAACACACAGCAACATCTAGTTCCATCGTTTCGCTTCACACACAAGCTTCGTAGCTTATCATAGGGTAAGGTTACCCCATGGTAAGCTACGAAGCTTTTGGTATGGATACCAGATAGTTGATACTACACATATATAACTTTAAATATATACATATTATAAATATAAACACCTATGACTGGAGTACAAACATTCGTGCTCATCACTGTGACCTGAACCCGCGACCGCTGGCACGGCAAGTAGGGTCACTACAAACTGAGCTAAGCGTGTCGTCAAATAACGAATATATTATTTTTTTTTTTTTTTTTTTTATGGGACTAAGGGGGCAAACGGGCAGGAGGCTCACCTGATGAAAAGTGATCACCGCCGCCCATGGACATCTGCAACACCGCAGGGCTTGCAGACGCGTTGCCGGCCTTTAAGAAAGGAATACGCTCTCTTCTTGAAGGTGGCCAGGTCGTAGCGGTTCGGAAAGACCGCCGGCGATAGCTGGTTCCACAGAGTGGTTGTGCGGGGCAGAAAATGCCTTAAAAATCGCACTGTTGTGGAACGCTGGACATCGAGATGGTGTGGATGGAATTTACTATTTTGGCGCGATGTCCGATGGTGAAATTCAGCAGCCGGGATCAGTCCGAACAATTCCTCAGAACACTCCCCGTGATAGATGCGGTAGAAGATGCAGAGTGATCCAACATCTCTACGCAGAGCTAAAGGATCAAGCCGATCGGAGAGAGCTTGATCGTCGATAACTCGAATCGCCCTACGTTGAATGCGGTCAAATGGAAGTAGCTGGTACTGGGGAGCTCCCGCCCAAAGATGAGAACAGTACTCCATGTGGGGCCGAATTTGCGCCTTATAAAGAATAAGACGCTGACGCGACGTGAAGTACTGTCTCGCCTTGCTGAGCACACCAAGCTTCTTTGAGGCCAGTTTGGCCTTACCTTCCAATTGACCACGGAACTGGACGTTGCTCGAGATGTCGACGCCAAGTATTCCGATACTGGCTGTGGGAGACAGAGGAGTGTCCTCAAATTGAGGAGCTACGATAAATGGCGACTTTTTAGCGGTTAACGCGCAAACTTGTGTCTTTTTGGGGTTGAATTGGACTAAGTTTAGTCGACCCCAATCCGAGACTTTGGTTAACAGAGATTCGACTTCAGACACAAGTTTGTTCCGGCTCTCGTTGACGTATTCCCGAGAAATATTAGCGCGGCCAGTGTACAGCGCATCCACAGTTCTATCGTCTGCATAGCAATGAATGTTGCTAATTTGCAACATGTCATTGATATGCAGAAGGAACAGAGTAGGAGACAGTACACAGCCTTGTGGAACACCAGCATTGACATATTTAGGATCAGAGCAAGCACCGTCGACAACGACCTTAATGCTCCGATCTGCCAAAAAGCTGGTGATCCAGTTGCAAAATTTCTCGGGGAGCCCATAGGAAGGTAGCTTCGAAAGAAGCATATAACAAATGATAGTAAATATATTATAATTATTAATAATTTAAGTTTTAGAAATTATTTATTCACTAATTTAATTACAACCAATATTAGATTTTGACAAATGCTGCCTCCGCGACTAAGTTAGAGAAGGTAAGTGTAATTTCATACTATAAATATCTCATCTTAATATAACTCGTAAGCACATTTATTATTTATGCTCGAATTTATAATTTAAATAGGATTCGGATTTACCATAAAACTATTTGACGAAGAAATATAAAATTAAAGAAAGAGGTCATCAGAATGTGTTTTTCAGATAAACCTCGATTACATACGAAATATTTATTGGGTAATGTAAGTCCAGAAACATGTTCTTATTTATCTTTATCATTACTAATATATATAAAGCTGAAGAGTTTGTTTGCTTACTTGATTGATTAAAAGCGAAAGTCTTTAGAATTACTAGTTGGATTTGAAAAAAATATTATTGTATTTTATAGGCTATTTATTGATTATACATGAATAAACGCGGGCGGAGCAGCGAGCAATCTTAATATATCTATATTTATTACTAGCGACTCACCCTCGCTTCGCTCAGGTTCGTCCCTGGGTTGCTTCCCTATACTAACTTTTATCCCCATTTTCACCCCTTTAAGGGATGATTTTCGGGATAAAAATCCTATGTCCTTCCAGGGTCTCAAACTATCTTCTTACCAAATTTCATCTAAATCGGTTCAGTAGATCCAGAGATTACCCCCCTATAACGTCACAAACTCACAAATTTTACCACTTTATAATATTAGTATAGATTTATTAACTATACATAAATAAACGCGAGCGGAGCATCGAACAATGCTAGTATATCATTAGTTAATATTATTAGTACAGGTATTTACAGAGTGGTGGACGCGAGCGTGGTCTCCTGCCGCTTGAGCTGCGCGTCGAGCGCGAGGCCGCGGCGGTCGCGCAGCGCGCCCAGCGCCGGCCGCAGCTGCACCACCTTTTGCATGTTCGCTCCGGGCTGCAGCGGGCACCCGTCTCTGGCACGTGAGTTTTACGTTTAAATTCATATATTTTACTGTAAGCTTATGTACTTAACATTTTAAAATTCATTAATATTTATGTATTAATTCAGCCTTTTTTAACTTCCCACTTCTGGGCACGGTCCTCCCTTCAGTACGAGGGGGGTCAGGCCATAGTTCACATGTCTTTCGAAAACTTGCTAGGTTTTTTAAGACATGCAGGTTTCCTCATGATGTTTTCCTTCACCGTAAGGTAAGTGGTAATCATGTTGGAAATGATTCGCACATGAAAATATCAGAGGTGCGAGACCCGGGATTTGAACTCGCTTCACTCGGTTTCCTAAGCGAGCACGTTACCACTGCCAAAACTTGATTAATAAACCAGAAACGTTTGGTGTACCTTGGTAAATATAGATTACTAGCGGCCTACCCTCGCAGTACTTGGACGCACCTTGAGATATCGTACATAGTACACACAACAAATTTCATCTAAATCCGTGCAGCCGTTTTGGCGTGAAAGACTAACATACTTAATGTATAATAGTAGCGTGATTAGTATAAATTTAATAAACAGGTACTAGTAACTCACTGCGTCTCGACCCCTGTGACCACGTTCCTATATTGACCGTTTTGGAAAAGCACAATGTCGACGGATTGCAGGATGCTCGCTTTTATCTTTTTCACTACTTTGTTGCTGTGGTTCCGTATACTGATGTTTACTGCCACAGTCTCCCCGTGAATGTAGAGCTGTTGGAATAAAAAATAACTATAAACAAATTTGTATACCAATATAAGTAATTTTGTATAATTTTTGCTGTAACGTAAATGTATTTATCGAAGTTACAAATCTTTATATTAATGTTTTGTTCAAAGACATAACTACAAATATTTATTCATGTCAATTCTAATATTAAATTTTCTGTTCAATATGACGAACAGAACAGGCCTTTGTTTCGTAAATGTTATTGGATTTTTTTGAACTTCAATTTCTAGTAAAACAATACAGATTCTTATTAAATTCCATTATTTTTTCATGAAACAACATTAAGCATTAGATAATGTATACAAAAAAATATGTAAGAAAAACAGCTAAAGTATTGTTTAACATTATATTTTTACTATTGGATGTTGTGCTTCATATTTTATTAGAAACGAGTAGGTTACGTTTATTATCTAAGCCGAGTAATCCTTCATATTATAATTGAAGTTTGAAAGAATCAATACAACATGCCTGTTTGTCCAAAGTTAACTCTAGCTCGAGCTGTCCAGGTGATAGGACGAAGTCTTTGCGCACTACGGTGCACGGCTGCGGACCCGGCTTGTCCGGCGCGTACTGCACTTTCCGAATGCCCAACGCCACCGTACTCCTGTTCAAGGCAATAAAGTAAGTAAATAAGCTCAGCATTAAAATTAATAGTTTTCTATTTTATAAGAATCGAATGAAGAAGAAAAATCTGACTGAATATCTTACTATCTAAATCTAACTAATTATTATGATCGTCTATCTTTTTTAAGATTTTCATGGAAAGTCTTTAAATTTACATGAAAACCATGAGATCAATAGTAGCCATCATTAAAAATGAAAAAAATGAGCGACTGAATTTTCAAACCTATTTATCGTAACACTAAGTTTCATTCAAATATTAACTTTTTTTTAATGAATTAAAAACAAAACGAACTATTAATTTTTGACATTTTATTTTTTAAACATAAAGAGAACAGGTAAGAGAGGATATAGCACCTGCGATGTGACCGATCAATCTCAGTTTCTCCAACGAACAGCTTGACATAGTAGTGCACGCCGCACGGCTCGCCCTCGTCCTCCAGAGCGGGCTGCAGCGTGACGGAGCCGGGCGCGCCTGCGGGCAGCTGTAGCCGGAAGGGCAACGCCCATGTGCCCAGCTTCTTTACTAGACGTTCCTGAATACGGTATTGTAGACTTTAAATAAATAACTAAATAAAGGCATTACTGTACCTGTGACAGCACCCTTGCAATATACTAACATAACACCCTATTGTAATCAAACCATGTACAACAATAATAAATCTTATAGCAATCTTCGGCGTATGAGCTATCCTCATGTAAAAATTACGCCCATACGTTATTGCATGAATGAAGGTCAGGCCAACAAATACAATTTTATTTTAAATAATAGTATTGTAATCGGCTGCAGCTTAGTATATGGAACGCGGTCCCTGGAGGAGTGGGTGGTATTTTACCGGGAGGTGATAGGGAGTCCAAATATATAAAATTTATTTTGAGGAAACGAAGGAGTCAAAAGTTATGGAGACTTAAAGTTAGAACATTTCCATACATTTCTATACCTAAATCGTCCCATATACTCATACTGAACTTGCGCATTTTAATCATATTTTTCTAGGAAAATTGAATTTGTGTTAAGAGTTGAAATTCATCCATTAAGTATTTACGTAAGTGATCTCAAAACATAACGACTCTATCAAATAATTTACTAGAGCAAGTCTAGACCAATTCAAATCTTGTTATAGTACTTGTTGTGTACTGTAGCCTGTAAGAGTACACTGAAGTTATAGCCAATATTTGCGGAGCGAACGGGCCATCCCACTGATTGCTGGGTCGATGGCGGAGGCGGAGACGGTGCTAATCCCGAAAGGATTTGATTTGCCCGCAGCGGCGCTCGCCCGGGACTGATCTAATTACTACTAGCGCAGCTTGTTAATACGAAGCGGTAATAGGGTTAATTATTAAATTTCGACGGCGGTTTCACTGTAACTTCATGATTCGAGCTCTTGTGAAGCAACTTTGTGCAGTGGCCGCGATATATGGTTATGCCACAAAATTAACCCATTTCCGAGGTATAATGAGCTTGAAGTAAAACAAATTATGTAATATTAAAATTTGAAGATATAATTCGCCAATATGTATATTTTATAGGAATACAATGTCGAAATAGTTTCACTTTATATTTTGCCTTCAAGAACTGACTTTTAGACGTCTCAGGCTTAACAAGTTTCTAATAATAGTCCATAACTACTTTGCGTAACTTAGTTGTCAGTAACCAAACTAGAAACTAGCGAACTGTTAATATCGAATCATAATTTTAGTGCTAGTTATAATAACATATAATTTTCTGTATTTAGCTTGTCTAAATTAAGGTAGGCCTACCTGCGTGCGTGTCAGGTCGTAGGATCTTCTCTCGAGCGGCGGGTACACCTGCTCGGATGCGAGGTATAGCTCCTTGTAAAAGGAGAGCCCCATCACCTCGTCCTCCTCCCGGCCGTAGCGAAAGGTGCACACGACCTGCGCGAACACTCGGCGGTCCCGCACATACTCCTCGTCAACTACCACTATGCCATCTGGTAAAAAATAACCTTTGATTCACAAAAATCGAACTCACGTTTCATCGACAAATGCAATCCGCTTCTAATAAGTATATAAAAATTTAAGTCGTTTCACAAATATTGAACATTCAGAACTTGTTAGCGCAAAGCTTTCGAGTAATATTTGTATTATTTTGTGTATGTTCTAAAGTGTTTACCGTTAAAATTTTCTGCCGTCCTAAATAAATGTATTATTTCATTCTAACTTAATACGAGTTAGTAAATATAATAATTAAAAAATATGTTATTGAGAAAAGCGTATTACACTGTTTAAGATTTTCTTGTTTATGGAAATGTGTTAAATTTAGAATTATTGAAATTGAAAAATAAATGTAACTTCGAAATATAAAAAAGAGCAACTATTGATCTTCTTGCCAGCTCTTCTCAGCAGAACTGCTTTCCGAGCCAGTGGTAGCTCCACACGGAATGATTATACTAGCGCTAAATTTAAATTGACGATTCAAAAGTGCTAACTTGAATAAAGTTTATTTCATTTAAAACTTAACCATTATTTATTGATCTTCTCTCGAGTGAAGATAAATAAAAAGATCAAACGACATTACATTTAAAACACTTTGCCTCGAGTATTTCGCAATAAAACCACAATGCCCGCTCCGACAAGTTCTCGCTGCATTAGCAATTTCTCACAACAAAGCGCTTCTATCTTGTAGTAATCTGTTGTGAAAAATTCGAATCGAAATGCAGTTCAGGAGCAATTTGTTAAAAGTGCTGAGTAAACCGGAGCAGGTATAAGTTGATAGTGGCTATTAAAGTACGATCTAGCGCGGGCTCTCAGGCTAGCGGGCGCCGGAGCGCCGGGCAGCGGCTAATGGACGCCAGCTGTTGCGTCCTGCACTGCTACTTCTACTACTGCCTTCAACTGCTTACATTGTTCTTTTTTACATGTTTTAATTGTTTTTTGTTGTTTCAAATATTCTAACCTAAGCATCGTAATCTTGTAACTTATGTCTTTTATCAGAAAGTTAATATTTTATAAAACTAAGCCTCGTCTGTCCTTAGGGGTACAACATTTTAAGTAGAAGGATGAACAGTGTCCTTTCTTGTTGTGTCTCTAATCTAAATAACTCATGTTATTTCATTACTCTGTGAATATCCAACAAACACACATTCACATTATTCATAAGGACAGAAACTGATTAACGTTATTGACTTTTAATATTCATATTTAGGCCCATTAACATTTTAATTGATTAATATATAGATAGGCCCCCGGTATGGAAATTTTAAGAGGAGTGAAAATAATAAAAGCGTTACGTTTTACGTCATTGTCAATCCAACATGGCGGACTCCCAAAGATGGCAGATTGTTTTTATGCACCCCCATGATATGGATATCAAATGAAAGATTTTGCTGAGTTTTCTCAGCACAATCACGAATGCACGAAAAAGAACATGTTTTTTTTATAATATAATTAAATGTAATATAATATATAAGATATATTAATGAGGTATATTATAATTATTATTTGTATAAACTATTATTATTTAATTTTGATAATAAAATTAAATATTTTAAATTATCAAACATTCTGTTTCTTGTAGGAGTAAACTTCAGTCGTACGTCGGAACTGATACACACACTTTTTTATCCTTGCGGATTTATAAGGACAAAATGAAAAGTAAGTATAGTTTTTTTTAATATAAAATAATAAATAAAAATCTAAAGAGCCTATATCGATACACTAGTATGAAATCACAAAGGAGATACGCAGACCTATGGGCTCCACGTAGGAGATGTGGTCGACATAGTCCCGCTTCGGCAAGTACAAAGTGAGTTTGCCATTGGGAGAACACTTTTTAAACACTTTAAAATTATACACCATTTTTTCAGGAGCAAACACTTGAAACTAGCACAATTGGTGAAACTAAAGTGCAGAATGCGGAGAGTCTTCGCTTCCTTCAAAATTTATAGAGGATTATTTGTGTGTGAGGTTTCCAAAGCCCTGTAATCTCGTTTGTATCATTAGCGACACGTGACGCGGCGGGCGTCCCACGCGCGGCCGCCGACTCCTACTGCTGATCAAAAACCTATTATAATCCAAATCTCCTTAAAAGTGAGTCACTAAACTATTCACATTCCACCACGTAATCCTGTTAAGTTCTTATATTCGTAACCTTTCTAGAAATCAAGGTCTTTCCTCTGTCCAATGTTTATATAATAGAGTGTATGAGTATAGTATAAAAGGTAAGAAAGGTGACAAAACCTGGAGCTGCAACAACCTTTGCTATATTGGAACTATTTATAAGATAAATAAATAAAATAGGAAGGAAACAATTACATATAATTATGTATTTTGTTTTATGATATTTATATTAAATATTACACAGAATCAGCCACGCTATCTAGTAGATTGTGATTTAAATTTTTCTGTTACATTTTTCGAGCCAGCTAGCATTATAACTAGTTATCAAAGGTCTGAAATAAACGATTGTAGGTATTCAATATTAAAGTTATTATTACTATTTGGTTTTTGTATATTATTTATATATTACCGTTTTATAACAAAGCAAACAAAAATAGAAGAAACCTTATAAAATACGTTTCTAGCGTGGGAAATCCCCTTAATTTTTTACTACTTGCTACTTGCAGTAGCAAGTTTCAATTCGTCATATAACACGTAATTCAAGCAAGCTTTAGAATAGGGAATGTACCTACAAAATAAAATAGATCAGATAATAAATATGTATGTGCATTGAATCACTTAGGTACTATAGTTTTTACTTTACGCCCATGAAATTCATATTTCATATATTAATATTATACTATTTCTATGAATATTATATAAAATCCATAAACCATAACATCATCGGTGTCATACTAGTTATTTATATAAATACTACTTTACTAAGTAAATATTAATCCTATTACTCGCATTTATAATATCTCACATCCTTATGTCGTCCAACAGATAACCTACAGGCTGAAAAACACTTGCAGTTAAATCATACATAAAATTTTCTATAAACTCAACGAGACAAGCTAGATGTAGTGTACAAGGCATCACAAAGTGCTCCAGAGGTCGTACCGCGGCGAAGCGCATGCATAAAAAACACGCTTTACTGTAAATTGAAAATTTCGTATCAATCGAACGTATCGTAAAACCGCATACTCAATAAGTGGTGCGGGAATAAATAAAGCCATCGGTGCGTCGTAAACCCTAAGTCGGTCAAGGGCCCCATTCTCTGAGATATCAGCACAAATTGAAGCCCGCTATGATTGTCAATACTACCGCGATATCGAGACGTCTATGAATTTTAGATAGTTGCTACGAGTTGTAGCCACAATTGTTACTCGCAAATGAAAATGTAATTTTTTCGCTTTCGACATTTTCTTTTTTCCGCAAGCGACTAAATCTCGCTCCGCTAAGCCACTTAGAACTTTTCTCTACAGAACATATTGCGAAAGCTTATTCAGATAGGTAGGTATTCCAGGGGAAAACTAGATGAGCCTGAATAAAACTTTTCCATGTCATTTTCTATGGTGTGTCATATTTCCAAATAAATTAAAAAAGTAAACATAATTATTGCTGCATTTATGAATTATTGAGAATAGTTAAAATAAACTAATACTTTCTGAGATAATATATAAAATAATAACTAGTAAAGAATAGCTGTATAATTTTTTATTTTTTACCCGTTTTTGTGTTTAATCTGTATGTATGTATGGATGTAAGTACATCTGTCCGATCCTATGTTCGCTAGATTCATTTTGATAATACTAATATAATTTATGGATAATATTAAAAATCAAAATGGGGATTTGCAGGTGCCAACTTGTATTTTAAAAAAATATTTTTCATCCAAACCTAGAGTGGGGTATCAAAAGATTTTTAAGAGGCAATCACAAAAATATATACAAATTGTATGTTTAATAATAATAATGTAAGATAGCTCCAATATTATAAAACTGGCCAAAACGTAAAAACTGTAAATAAAAAAAAAAAATATACCTAAATAAAAATATCCGATTGTGTAAAAAGAGAACTAAAAAGAAGGGAACAAGTTAACGAAGCATAATGATATTATGCAGTCGGAAACACATATCTACACTTAGCAAGAATGAGACATACAATACCTACCTATGTATCCGACTGTTATTATTAAAATTATTAATCGCTAACTTGTTCCCTTCTTATTAGTTCTCTTTTTACGCCATCGGGTTTTTTTTATTAGTACATTGTTTATATGTAGTAAATAAATGTGCTTTCTGTTAACTTCCTCTATAAGTGAATGATAACATAAAGTACGAATTTTAGGCCATGACTCCGAGGCTCTGTTCGTATACAAGATACTATAAATGCAACAAACGGCTTCTCAAGCAATAGTTACCTATATATTGTCACACTTTATATTAGAAGTACTAGAGAGTTAAATAAATATGGTTGAATTTCAATTTCCTAGCCTTAATTAGCAACAGATAGGTACATATAGGTATATTGAAGGTAAAATTTCTTTGCTGCAAAATTTAATCGATTATTTCTTAACCGCAAAGGGATCGATTTCCTTTATGTTGTTTAAATACATAAAACCCTTTAGTAAGCATAATAAGTAAAGAAAAAATAATAATAGACAGAGATATCTAATATAGACTTAAATATTACGATTCTTATCAGTTTTTTAGTCCTGTAGAAGCCACAAGAATTAGCTCGCATTATACTGTTATGTAAAAACACAATATGTCATTAATTTCTCTTTAATTAAATTGCGATTATTTATAATGATTTTAATGATATCGTTAGTCATTTCGTTATTAAATCGATCCATCAATCAAGTAACTTAACTTTAATGTGCACTGTTATTGAACGGGTCTGATTTTTATATTACAACTCTACTTCTTATTACATAGGTAACAAAGTATTATAACATCTACATAGATTTCGATATAAACTTTTTATTTCTAATCCATATCACAGATCATAATATATATACAAAGTCCATATTAAGCGATTTCATATTGAAAAAGCTATACAATATCCTTAGTTCAGCAAAAGCTGTGCAAAAGCACAATGACCACAAAGTGAAAATATAATTCACGATGGAGATATGTATGTAAATAAATTGTTATCAAAAGATCGAAGGACGTCTTGGCTGTTGACAGTGACCTTGGGAGTAGCATCGTGAGTCACCGGCGCACGCGCAGAGGTCATTGACCGATCACCTCTCTCTTACATTTCCCTACTTAGTAACCGAAACGGAATATTACATACAACGAATTATTTTTAGCTTTCCAGTATAGAATTCAATCGTTCGAGCTTACGAATACATACAAAAGTATAGTATGCTAAATATATAACGTAAGACATACGAGTATGTAGGACTTAGGTACTAGATACTTTCATAACTTCTATTCTCTTTGTTTTCTCATTAACAAATGAATTATTCAGTTCAATAATTTAGAAGAACAATATGTATAAGCTTACAATTAACAAGTAATTAATTAATTTCTTAGAAATTATCCTGGAGGAATTAATAACTCAATTTAATAGTAAATTGAGTATGAAATCTAAAGCAATGAATGTTCAACTTATCCAATGATCAAAAAAATTAAGCTGCATGATATATTACTTAACTTTATATTTAACTTACTGCAGGATAAGATTTATTATTTATTTAAATTATTAAAAAATACAGGTCAAGTCAACCTGTGTTGTCGAAGAATGTAAGCAAGCGAAGCCGGCGGTGACGTCATCGACTCGCGCGCACCGCGCCTCCTACTGAATAGCTGACTATACAGTACAGTTAGAAGAATACAAACATGGACGTCTTTTAAGACATCAGTCCAACTTTACTTTAACTTTTACGTGTTTTAATAGTGAAATAATAGAAAAACAGTGCAAAATGGTGTACCTGTGTACGTAAGACCGTGATACGGCTTATATTCGAGGTTGAATATGTCTGGAGTGAAAGTTTGAGTTGCTGACAATGAAAATTCATTGCAAAAATGTGATGTTCGTGTAATAATAATTGATATTTTGTATACAGTGTTTAGAATATACAGTTTTTAGAATTAGCAAGTGTTAATATTGAAAGATTTCCCGCAAATTAAGATCTGTGCAATTATGTCGTCTAGTCCTGATATACAGCCGCCTCCAGGTAAATGAGTAGTTTTGCTTAGAAAGAAAAAATATGTGAGTAATATATATGTAACTTCAATTATAGGTAAAGTAATAACTTCTTAAAACAAAGTTAGTCTTAGTCCATAAAATTCCTTTTTATTTAGTCAGGAAATAGAAAATATTTTGTGCACTAGCTAACTTATATGTAACAGTCCGGAGGTTCGATTCTAGCTTGAGGTATCGAATAGTTTAAGTAAGCTACAGAGGAAGGGCTTTTGTGGTCTGAATGTGCGTACAATAATCTATATGAAAAATGTCAATTTAAATAATTTTATTGTACTCTCTCTATAAATCTATAATCGAAATATACATTACTAAATTTAAAATCGCTTGTAGGAATTGAAAAATATTCTTTTAAAATGCAAATTTCAATAGAAACATTGGTTTTCTTCATCCATGCAGTATCGTATCGGCGCTATTTGTCGGTCGCTATCTCAGCGCATCTTTCATTTCCGCGTCGCCAGCGTCCCGGCTCTTGTTGGCCGGACACGGAAAGGCTTGTTTATTTTATATAAATTGATACAATATTTTATATATTACCTTACTTTTTAAAGATATTATAATTAATAATATACTCATACAGTACAGTACAGAGAACTGCACTCAGTCACACCTAGAGCTCTACATGTAGAGCTAATGAAAATAGATATCCTGTTTATTGAACTTCAAACTAAGTCAATTCTTCTTCAAATTTTGACTTTTTAATCAGTTGTTTTAGTTTCGTTATCATTTAATATTATTTTATCAAAGGCCCTTTGACTTTACATGGTAACCTTATGTTTTAGGCGTGGTGGAACTACGAGAAGACATCCCCTTAAAGCCGAGCAGTAGATCTCTGGCAGGGTCTCGCCTGTGCGGCGGAGGCCCGCGGGTCATCATAGGCGCCTTCGCAGTGCTGACCGTCGCCATCACCATCGCACTCCTCACGCAGATATACTACGGCGACTACGAGGTGAGAAACAAACAGTGACAGAAGACGACGTTATTACTTTGCTAAAAATAAAATATCTACTTATTATGTCTTTTGAATATCGCCACAGAAATATATTTTTTAGTTTTCTATTACGGATATCGATCGTAGAATGATTACTTATTAGATTTTTAAAACAATTCTTTCTCGGAAACGGTAAATACAATATAGGAAAGAGTTTATCAAAGGTTTTCGTCCATAGAAATGTCAAGTACCTAAACTATTTTAATTAAATCATTCATCATCATTTGCAACATTTTATCAATGTATGTTAATAGATATCAATAGGTATAATATAATTAAGCTAGCTAGCTAGTGAAGATTTCTATGTATTGTTAATGCCGAATCATAATAAAAAAAAAAACATTTTTGTACAAAAAATAAAAAAACATTATTTTTTTTGGGGCGGACTACCCTTATCACTTAGGGGTATGAAATAATTTACGTCCTATTCTCAGACCTACTGAATATACACACAAAATTTCATAAGAATCGGTCAAGCCGTGTCGGAGCAGTTTTGTTTTGTTTGTCACTGTGACACAAGAATTTTATATATTAGATCATCGATCAACTAGTAATATTATTGATCGAAGTATTAGATAATTATTATTCATAGTTTTGTTTATTTTACTAGCTTATTGCTTTTCCATTGTATATTTTATTTACGAGGAACGAACGTGTTGCATAAATACATCATCTATTCATGAGACACTTGAGACTTCATTGTCTGGTCCATTATCACGTTTATTACTTCCATCGACACAGTAGCTTGTTGGTAATTTTATAGCAGCCTCCGAAACATACTGATACTAGGTACCCATTATAGGTCTTTACTACACTAAACATTATCACAATCATAAATTTAAATGTTTGAAGTCCGAAATGGTGCTTTTAAATATAAAAAAAAATAAAATATACCTAATATTAATTATTTAAACTTTTACAAAAAGTATATAGTAATAGTGTTGCTTAGTCATTTGTCTTTTTAAATAATAACAAACTGAATTAAAATTATTATTCTTAATTAATTTTAACTTTTTAAATTACACATAGAACAATTATAAGGCTTAATTAATATTATATTTTATATTTTTTTCTAATGGTTACAAATATAATAATGGCAACACTAAATATAGATTACTAATTAGTATTTGTAAAATTGTAATAATTATAATAATAATAGCAAAAATGAAATAAATAATATTCCATATTCAATTATAAAACTGATTAAAATATTATAAAAATGCTTAAAGTTAAAAATTATTGTAAGGTAATTGGTGCAATTTTCATTTTGTTAATTGTGGGTAGGCTGTCTGTAACAACTATACATTCAAGACATGTAACACCTCAGTCTCTCCCGTGACCATGATTGCTGTAAAGCATTCGAAACGTCGGGAACCAAAAATACAAATAAATCCGCGAAAAAATCTAAAAAGATAGTTTTATTTAAAATATCAAATATTCGCGTAAATCTAAGAAAGTATTATTCAGTATCTTTGTGTTAAATGTAGTTTAAAGAATAATTCGTTACGCAAAGTGTCCATTGTTTTTTCCAAGTCATACGAGCCTCTTTATTCTTCTACTGTTGTTTAAAACTATGTTTTTTATATAATATGTAACCTGGCATATTATGTGCAGGTGGTGCCACACGGCTCGGTGTCATCGTCGGCGGCGGCGTGCTCGCGTGCGGGCACGGCCGTGCTGCGGGCGGGCGGCGCCGCGCCCGACGCCGCCGCCGCCGCCGCGCTCTGCCTGGCCGTGCTCGCGCCGCACCGCACCTCGTTAGACGCGTAAGTATCTTTTATATCTAGATCTTATTGTATTATTTCATAACTACTTGTAGGTATAAGTCCAATTGGAAAAAGTTAATTCGTGAAGATCACATTGGATGTTGCCATTGACACCATTACGGCTTTCAAAGCCTTAGATTTATCTTTTTGTAATCGATTATAATTAATTTTGCTTTGGTTTTGAAAATAGCATGTTTTATTTTTATGCACTACTAGCGACTTACCCTTGTTCGTCCCTAATTACTAAAGGTACATCTGTGTAAATATTAAATTTTGTCCAAAATCATCCAGCCGTAACACCGTGACATATACACTTTAGCATTTATATAATTGTATGATAGTTCGATGTTTAAGGTCTAGAAACCCTAAAGTTTAGATGTTTAAAAATTGGTTCAGGACTGTTGTTGTTTATGTTGTTTGTTCGTTCTTTCAAAATTATCTTACATAAATTGTAAAGTATACTAACTTATATTTAAAATATAATAATTAATAAGATAGGCCGTAGTATAACTTAAAATATTAAATACACAATACTAAAAACTTGAAGTATGTACACATAATACACAGCGCCATCTGTAGCATACTACGTGGACTACGCGGCGGAACCATGAAAAATGTAGTTTTACACTTGAAAAGTGTTAATCATTAAAAAATGAAACTAGTTTTAATATTATTTTTATGATATATATTGAGTACAAACATATTATATTCAATTCTGTTGTTAATGGGACATAATAAATAGTTTTCATAAAATAATTTAATTTAAGTATTCGACGATAGATGGCGGCATATGTAAAAATTATAATTCACTAATATATTTTACATTCAACATAAAAATTCTAAAATTATTATTTAAATTTCTCCTAGTAACAGATATTCAAAAGTAAAAAAATATATTATATCATCACTAATTTAAAAATTAAAACGTAATCGCAACAAGTATACAAGCTTACTATTTAATATCGAATCATAGAAACGTTGAAGCAAAATCCTGCCCAGATCGAAAATGCACGTTACGAGCAGTCGATACAGCATAAAACCAGCCATAAATCTGCGCACACCATTGAACAATCCCATCGAGCGGCTGAGCGGCGAGCGCGGCCGTCATCAGATCCTCATCGCACTCGCTGCCTCCCGAACTAAAATGTGACCACACTTAATCGTCTTTTGATAAAAATTTTGTCACTTGTCCGCCATCTGTTCGTATCGGACGAAGGATTACTGCCATTTTTAATAGAAATCTTTTTAATTTATAGCTATATCCGCGTATTGTCTAATTTCACTGTATAGGAGAAATATTTGTTATTTATACTCTGATTCATTCTAAACAAAAATAACGTTTCTTTTGAAGTGAAACTAGAGACCCGTTGTGATTTGAAACTCGATGAAACGGAAATGCGGACTAGAAAGAGGCAAAAACATAAATATATAGCACTTGCATTGCCCGCGGCTCCTCCCGCGTTCAGATTACCAAAAACCAAATTCTTAGGTTTTAAATATTAGTATACTCTAACTTTGCAGCTTTTGTATTTTGTCTCAGAAATGAGATATTTTTCCGCGGTAAAAAGTATTCTATATATTGACCGGAATAACCAGCTATCACCATACCAAATTTTATCAAAATCCCTCCAGTAGTTTTTCTGTGATGCGGTAACAGACAGACAGACAAAAATTCTAAAAACCATAGATTCGGCCTCTGTATCGATAATAATGACTATTTCAATAAGATTTTCCAAAAAATATTTAATGTACAGATTCGATTTACTTAGAATTTTATTATATGTATAGATTAAGCTGGCGAAAGAATGAGATAGAATACATCACGTAGGAAGCTTCGATCAAGTATTGTTGATCGAAGACAGGAAGTTAAAAATAATATTGGAAAATGTGTTATTATGTAATAGGTAAAAAAGGTTGAACTTGGTAAAAAAAAAACTATGTAATAAAAATGTTCCAAAAAAAAGTAAAAAAATACCTATAATTTATTTTGTGGTTCTTCCTGGTTTTTTTTTTTTTTTTTTTTTTAATTCGAATTGTAATCTTTTTCCATTTTTGTGTGTTATTTAATTGTGTGAGTGTATTTTATTATTTATTTAATTTAATATTTTATAATAGTAATTTTAGTACTGTAACATAGATATAATATAAACATTTTATAAAATCTCCAAATTTGCATGTGGTATTCACCTTAAAAGGTAGTGCAATTAGCTATAAAAACTTAAAAAAATTGTACTTGTATAAAATAAATTGTATTATTGTAACTAACCACTGGTGAATCTAATAAATAAATAAATAAATAAATAAAATGAATATTTATTACCGTGGGATGAATGTGCATAAATTAAATATTATTTATTTTTTTCTTAATTTAACAAATATCAAAAAAGAAGTAAAATCTATTAATATGTAGAAACTATCCTTTATTTTATAGTAAAAAAATTATCGTGACGATTATTATGTACGACTTGGGTATAGTAGTTGCTACTCTCACACCTACCACGATATCAAATGATTAAATCTATATATTTTCAATGTTTCAATTCCAGGAGCGGATCCCTAGTCCACTGGGAGTACAGACAGTCCCGCACCATGTTGCCTACTACTGCGGTGTGGGGTGCCGATGGGACCGTGGGTTTAAGCGTGGGCGGCAACAGCTCGGTCACGCGCCCACCAAGACTGGTCGCGGCACTGGCGGCTCTGCACGCGCGGCTAGGGTTGTTGCCTTGGGAGCAAGTGCTGCAACCCGCTATTGATCTCGCTAGGTGAGCTAACACTTATTGTTTTTCTTTAGCATATTATTTATTAATTAATTAATATAAAAACGCTTCTTAATTTTACATTGTTGAATATAACAATATGTAGTATTATGTTTTGTAGATGCTAATAATATGTATATCTAAATTAGTTTAAACGAGTATTCACTCATTATTACACGACTAACATTGTCCGCTGCCATAAGCTATATATGACGTCAACCTAAGTTAAATATGGCGCCCTCTAGAAGAGATAAACTCTACTAAAAACAAATTTTGAATTGTACTGTGCAGATATCAAATGAAAGGGCTTAATAGTCATTTCATCAAATTTTACAAAACAGAAATCGATTTATAGAAGAGTGTAGGGAACGAGAAGTTCAATGGAAATAAAATTAACCTATGTACGAGTATCTTAAGATAAATTTAAATGATTCTAATTAAAGCTAACTATATTTTTAAAGGTGCCTCTATTTTTGTTGTTCTTCAATTACATTCCTTAAATTATAACGAGCCTTATTTCATAATTATAACTTTATTAGATATAGATTTGTCTATCAGGACAGGCTACGTAGTATCAGCGAGCCTGTCGGCGGCGGCGGCGGCGCGCGGCCTGCCGGGATACACCCCCACCGCACTGCGCACTGAGCCCGCACTCGCCGACTACTTGGAGTCTCTAAAGAATTATACCAGCTCGGGTAAATAAACATTTTAATTGCGTTCGTCTCAACGCCTTTATTTAGGATCTGTCATCTGTCAGCCGCGGAGATAGACGTGTTTCTTTTGTTCTGTACAATTAATTTAGTAGAAATAGTAAAATTTACGTTTAAAGCTAAATAATCATGATTAACCGTAATCTTAGTGTTAAAGGTTCATAATCTACGCGTTCAATTAACTAAACTTAGTGAAATCGTGATACTATTGATGAATTGCTAAGTGAACTTTGTTACACAAATAATATAGTAAGTGACAAAAAAGAACTATAATTTGGATCTACCTACTACCAACAAAATATTAAGTGTTAACTTGGATGCATATCAACCACAATTTCGAAGAGAATTGTAATTGGAAAATTGGTCTAGCGGTGTAACTCGCTGCAAGCCATCCGTTGATTCCTAAGATCAAATCCAACTTGTATTATACAAAATTTCTTATTTTGATTTGTCTCGCTCTCTCCAAAATGACTGGAAGGCAAATGCTCTGGGGGTGTTGTAACATTGGTAAAGATAATGACGATTTTATAAAATGTATAAAATGTACAAAAGTGTATCACTATGAGTGCTTGGGTATTGATTCAAATATAAAGAAAAGCAACTGGAATTGTCCAAAGTGCGGTAAATTAATATCTAAAGGAGGCAATTACGACGAAACACCTATACGCTCAAGTGCCTACCGGTCCAGTACAAATACACAGGAATCTAATGTTACGAAAAGATCACACAAAAGACAAGCCTTGGGTTCTCCAACTTCACCAAATGTACCTTCCACCGTCACATTGGAAGAAGTGCGAAACATCGTCAATGAAGTTATTGAAAAAGAAATGTCAAACTTAATGGCTAATATAAACAAAACAATAACTTTAACCGTTAGCACTTGCTTAAAAAGTATTGACAGCAAAATCGAAGAGCTTCAACGTTCAGTATCTTTTATAAGCAGCCAATATGATGATATAAAAAAGGAAATTGATAAATATTCTGATTTATTTGAAAAACAAAGACGCGAAAATGAATCACTTCAAAGCACTGTAATAGATTTAACGAACAAAATAAACTTAATGGAACAGCAAGCTCGTTCTAATAATATCGAAATTCAATGCGTTCCTGAGTCAAAAAATGAAAATTTAATTTCCATAACAAAGCAGCTATCAAAGACAGTGGGATACGATATAACTGAAAATAATATTTCTCACTGCACTCGTATTGCTAAAATGAATCCTAAATCGACACGTCCACGGTCTATTATAGTTCAACTCAATACTCCTTTGGTACGAGATCATCTCTTAGCTGCTGTAATAAAGTTCAACAAGGGACATACTACTGAAAAATTAAACACTTCTCATCTTGGTATTGGAGGGGATAAATCTCCTGTATATGTTTGTGAACATTTATCAACTTCAAACAAGTTACTCCACGGGGCTGCTCGTCGCAAGGCTAAAGAATTAAACTACAAGTATGTTTGGGTACGTAGTGGGAAAATATTTATGAGGAAAACAGATAACTCTGATTATAAAGTTATCACAAGTATGAATTACTTAAACCAATTAACTTGAATATTGTACAAGTGCATGTAAATATGACAGTAAGTACTTTTAAATTCGATACATTAAATATTTACTATCAAAACGTGAGAGGTCTGCGTACCAAAACTCACAACTTATTTAGTAACATTTGTTGTTATAACTATGATCTTATAATTCTTACTGAAACTTGGCTATGTACAGGCATTTATAACTCAGAAATATTTAATAATAATTACAATGTTTATAGGAGAGACAGGGATCAGTATAATTCAATAAAAAAAGGGGGTGGGGGAGTATTAGTCGCCGTTTCCAATAAGTTAAATTCTAAGCGAATGAAAAACTGGGAAAGTAGGTGTGAAGATTTGTGGGTTATTTTAGAATTAAACAAAAGTGAAAAAATAGCTTTATGTGCTGCTTATATTCCTCCACCAGTTAGTAAAATAGTTCTAGACGATTTCATAAATAATTTTAATCATCTCTCTGAGACTTATAAGGTTTGTTCACTTATTGTCGGCGACTTTAATTTAGGTTGTGTAGATTGGGACTTGGCTGACAACGTTTCTAGTAAATATCACACATCTGCTTTATCTAAAACCTTAATTGACTTTTGTCATGTTAACAATTTTTACCAATACAATAGAATCAAAAATAATCAAAATAAAATATTAGATCTTGTTTTGTTTAATAGTGAGAGGCCAAAGATTTGTGTGGATAATTCAATTACAGAACTAAGTAAAATTGACCCACTTCATCCACCTCTTCTTATAAATATTACCTACACTAAACAAGTGGAAAAAAAGTTATGCACAAAGAAATCTACGGTTAAATATAACTATGCAAGAGCTAATTTCAAGGCAATTAATGAATACCTTAGTCATTTAAATTGGAACGATAAGCTTTCAGCTTGTGGTAGCACTGATGAGATGGTAAATGTCTTATATGACCATATCTTAACATCAATGGATCTTTACATACCAAAAATTGCAATTCAAAATAGTCAAAAATATCCTCCTTGGTTTAGTAAAACTCTGATCAAAAGAGTAAAAGAAAAAGAAATAGTTCGGTTAAGGTATAAAAAATACAAAAATCCGATGGACGCGATAATGTTATCATTATTAGAGAAAAGATGTGAAAGACTATCAACACAATGTTATAACGCTTACATTGAATTTACTGAAGAGGCAATCACTTCAAACTCAAAATTTTTTTGGACATTTACAAAACGTAAGAAACAAAATTCTACAAATGCATATCCTGCTGAAATGACAAAAGATAATACTTGTGTATTTGATGGTCAAGGCATTTGTAATCTATTTGCATCACACTTTTCGTCCATTTACGTTCAGAGTAATCAGAATCAATATGATAGTAATGAAACTCTGAGTAGCCTTAATAATATTAAATCCAATTGTCACTGCCTATCGTCTCTACAGTTCGATCGAGATGAGATAATTCAGAAACTGAAACGTCTCGACCGCCACAAGGGTGCTGGACCTGATCAAATATCACCTGTGTACCTAATTAACTGTGCTGAGACACTTGCTCTCCCTCTACAATTAATATTTAATAACTCATTAAAGACGGGTACATTTCCTAAAAAGTGGAAAATTGCCAAGCTAGTACCAGTATTCAAAAGTGGTGATAAAAAAAGTGTAATGAATTACAGACCAATTTCCATACTTTCTTTGTTTGGTAAAGTATTTGAGGCCTTAATTTATTTACGACTTTATGGCTACTTAAAACACACATTTAGTATTTACCAGCACGGTTTTATAACCGGTAGGTCAACCTGTACGAACTTGGCTAATTTTTCAGAATTATTAATAGACGCGGTTGACAAGAGGAAAAGAGTAGATGTTATCTACACTGATTTAAGTAAAGCATTTGATTTAGTGCCAATTTCCATTTTACTCTTGAAGTTATCCGTATATGGCATTGCTGGTTCAATTTTAAGTTTGTTGAATTCATACCTTACTGATAGATATTTTTACGTAGTAGCTAATGGATTTGAATCTGAAAAATACGAAATAACATCAGGAGTACCCCAGGGTTCGCATTTGGGTCCCCTCCTATTTAATATATTTATCAACGACCTTCCAAACTGCCTGAAATATTGCACACCATTTATGTTTGCTGATGACCTAAAACTTCTCAAGATCATTGATGGTCCCGATGATGTTAGCGCCTTACAGGCAGACCTGAATAGTTTGTATAGATGGTGCGAACTTAATGGTATGATACTGAATAAAAATAAATGCTTTCATATAACGTTTACAAAATGCAAAACTAATATTACAACTAAATACTATTTAGATAACATTCCTCTCACTACAGTGGATACTATCAAGGATTTGGGTGTTATATTTGACAGTAAACTTACATTTATACCGCACATAGACTCTATTGTTAGCAGAGCCTCTAAAATGCTGGGATTTGTAATTCGCAATAGTAAAGTTTTTAAGAACTGTCGTACAAAAATGATCCTATACAAAAGCCTGGTCGTCAGTATTTTGGAATACGGTAGTATCGTCTGGAGACCCCACTATGCATGCCATTGTCTCAGAATTGAAAGAATTCAGAAGCGTTTTCTTTACCACTTAGCTTTCTCCGTTGGTAAATCCAGATCACTCGCAACATATACCGAGAGACTTACATATTTTAATATGCAAACTCTGGAAGACCGAAGGGACATACTGGATCTACATTTCTTATACAAAAGTATTAATAGCGTTTATGACAACCCGTTTCTTGTGTCTTTGTTTAATTTTAGAATCCCTAGATGCCCACGTAAGCCCGTGAACTTATTTGAAAAGCCTTCTCGTAGAACTATTTTGGGGAACAATTCACCCGTGTCGCGATTATGTAAAATTATAAACGATTATAAATGCTTGGACCTATTCAGAGACTCGCTGCCAAAGTTTCGCAAAGATGTAAAAAAATATATTCTAAATAAATAATTAATATTCTTGATTTGTTAATTATATGTCGATTTATGTGGTAGATTTGTTTATTGGTTTAATTTACTTGTTTTATTTAATTTCTTAAGGTCATAGAATTGTTGCTTTTTTATAAAACTATTCACGCCTATTTTTGCATGCGGTATTCACCTTAAAAGGTAATGCATTTAGCAATAAGAACTTTGTAAAATAGCATAATTTTCACTGTAATAATGTAATTACCACTGGTGAATCTTAATAAATAAATAAAAATAAAAATAAGCTATCAATAGATAACAATCGGAAATACTGAACCCTTCCAAAGCTTAGAAAGGTCTATAATCGATTAACCAAAACTGTGTTGTGTTTTTTCATTAAACGTTTGTATTATTTCTAGGGATGGGCCGAAATACATTTTACATTCGGTTTAGCCGAATTTCGGCTGCTTGAGCCGTACTTCGGCATTCGGCCGAAATTCGGCTAGAATGCCGAACATTCGGCAGTAGAAAAAAAATCTACTCGCACTATTTTGATTGAAATAAATAGAAAGCATGTCTGTCATAATAATAAAATATAATTAAGTCTTTTATATACTCCTTAGTCCGATGATCGGATTCCGGCTTGAGAACAAAAAAAATAAAACCTGAAATTGTATATCTTCAAAACGTCAGCAGGTAAAAAAGAACAAAAAACCGTAAAATGCCCCCGATGTCCAGCTGCCCCCGAGAATGGGGGGATGAAATGCGTTGAAAAATATATTTTTTCAATTTTTAGCTTACTGTGGCGTTATATCTAAAAAAGTTGTAGTAAAAATCTACAACTTTTGTATTTTTTCCCGTAGTATCTGTTTATATATTTTTTTTCGATTATATTCATCTTTTATAAATTTTTGATCGATTTTGGAGCGACAATGTTTTTTTTTCTTCGAAAAGTAGAGTTCAAGACGAAAAAAATGAACCATACCTGAAAATTGAACGATTTATTTTAAATGTAAACATCCACTTGAAACTGGAGGTGATTTTTAGCCTCCCGAGACCATAAAACATAAATTTCTCGAAGACGGCTAAATATGTATTTCAATTTAAAAAAAAAATGAGTATTATAAATATTTCGAAGATTACATTCCATTAGTCTCATGAACATTAAAAAATAATTGCAGAAATTAAAAATAAAAAACCAAGAAAAAAATTGAAAAACGAGTTTTTTGTAAATATCTCGAAAACTTTGAGGTTATTGTAAAAATTATAATTAAAAGACGTTAAAGTTCAGGTTTTAATTATTATTATTTTTTTTGTATTAAAATAAACGGATTCCGATGTTTCCTTACCGATCATTTATTTTAGTTAGGAACATGTAAACCTCAACACGTATGCGATAAAAATATTAATTTAGTTCTTCTTAATTTAACTGTCTCCAAAATCTTTTAAGTAGACAATATGAAATAAACTTAATATTCTTCTAACAAACATCTTAATTACAATTCGTAAATTGAATAAAAATATCACGTTTTTGGTTCATAAACCGAACACTCAAAAACTAAGTATTTTTAATTATTAAAGTGTCACGACGTGTAGTGACACAACATGTAGTGACTTGAGAAAGCACGGCGAAATTGAACCGAAGTTTCGACCGAAGTTAGTATTCGGTTGAAACCACATTCGGCCCATCTCTAGTTATTTCTGCTATAATATAAAAATATTTACCTAAATAGATTCTGTCTGTTTTTGTGCTTATTTTTTTATATTATCCAACTTGTTTTAATATAGTTTTTCCCTTTAACAGGAAAAAAAATGTTCATCCAGATAAAAATGTAATTTAAGGTGATACAAACAGCTTTTTACTAAATGCATATGGAGTTATATACAGTATTTATAAGAAAAACACATTTTTTTAAATTTTGGTCTGTCTGTCCGTCTGTCTGTCTGTTTGTTTGTTCCGGCTAATCTCCGAAACGGCTGGACCAATTTTGACGGGACTTTCACTGGCAGGTAGTTGATTTTATATGGAGTAACTTGGGCTACTTTTATTTCGGTAAAAGAATTAAGGTTTCGTTCCAAAAAATTAAAATGTACCTAGGGACCCGAGGAGGAGGAGGGACCCTAGGAACCCGAGCGAAGCGAGAGTCAGTCGCTAGTTCGCATTAATAATGGTAGTCTGCACTGTTCCAGAGCTGTGCGCGCTGTGGTCGTGCGCGGGCGCCGTGCGGTGGGAGGCGGCGGCGGCGGGCGCGGCGGCGGGCGCGTGGCGCGTGTGGGCGGCGGGCGCGGGCGGCGCGCTCGCGACCGCCGCGCTGCGCGCCGCCCTTGCGCCCGGCTCGACTCCCGCTAGCGCTTTACAAACGTAAATTGGAACGCTATTATATTATATACATATTATTATGTGAAAGTTTGTACAGATGTTTGTCTGTATTTATTACTCCTTCACGCTGAAACGGCTGAACGGATGTAGATTGGTAGAGACTGTGACCTGAAGTAACACATAGACTACTTATGTTTAAGAAACATATTATATCGGTGTTTCAGATTTTTTTAATAAGGAAATCATATTGTTTTAGTAGGATTTTAAAAATGGAAAATAAACACTATGTAGAGTGAAAAAACGAAGGGAAGAAAAGTAAATATTGAACATATCAAGTTTTTAAACGTAATAATAAAAAAGAAGAAAGAAACTTTAAAAAAACTCAATAACTTACCTAAACCGATAATGGAACCTTTATCGAACATATATGTGTAAAGATAGTATACTCGTTTAATTTTTTTTATTATATTTAATGTCGTTTCTTCAAAATTTCAGCAACACATTGAAATTTTATAGATCAATATCGACGTATGAAAATTGATAAGAAAAATCATATTATATATGTTTGAATAATTTTAAGATTTTATGATCTCACGTAGTATACACGTATACTTAAATATATTTGAGCTTTATAAGCTTAGCTTTAAACTTTTTAAATATATTTAACTGCAGCTATTCTTTTTTTTTAAATATAAGAATATTTCTTTTGAATGTTGATATCTTTAATATGTATGACATTTTCCTTCCATGCATGAAATCTTTGATAGTTGTAGCCCCGTGGTAACGCGCTCGCTTGGAAAACGATTGAAGCGGGTTCAAATCCCAGGTCTCGGCACCTCTGATATTTTCACGTGCGAATCATTTCTAACACGATTACCACTTGCCTTACGATGAAGGAAAACGTCGTGAGGGAACCTACATGTCTGAGAGAACCTAGCAAGTTTTCGAAAGACATGTGAAGTCCGCCAACCCGCACTTGGCCAGCGTGGTGGACTATGGCCTGAACCCCCGTGGGACGTTAAAAAGGGCTGAATACATACATGAAATCTTCGCCCAATTTAAAGCGATTTTAATAATCCTTTCTTATCGAATAATTACTTTTCTAATGATTTTGACATCAATGTATCTCTCTAGTTGGAAAACAATTAATTTCTATACTAATATTATAAAGAGGAAAGATTTGTTTGTTTGCTTGTACCAAATAGGCTCCGAAATTTCTGAATCGATTTAGATGAAATTTGGTAAAAAGATAGTTTAAGACTCTGGGAAGAACATAGGATAGTTTTTATCCCGGAAATAACCCTTTGAGGGGTTGAAAATGGGGATGAAAGTTTATATGGGGAAGCAACCTAGGGACGAACCCAAGTGAAGCGATGGTGAGTCGCTAGTATATAATATTATCATTCATCCCTATTCGCAGTGCGGTGCAGAGCTTGCAGACGCAGGCGCAGGCGGCGGGCGCGCGGTGGCCGCGCGGCGTGGCGGCCGGCCTCGCCGTCGTCGACCCGCGGGACACCTACGTCGCACTCGTTACGTACGTACCGATACTATTACCATTGTACCACACTGTACTAATCCATACAGTCGTCTAGCGAAGTCGCTTAGACAGGACTACCGCGCGGGGCGAGCAAAGGGAGACGCGAGTGAGACGCAGCCGACTGCAATACTCACTTTTATATGACTGTTGGGAAACGGCTTTAGCTTCAAAACCGTTCGCCATGAAAATTGGTATTATTTTAACCTTTGCATTTGACGTCATTTTCATTAAAATTCCTTTTGTATGTATTTCCATACTGTGGTATTAATTTTGTACCATGTTTTACGGTTACGAAAAACTTAATACATATTATAATACTAGCTGCTCACTCTCGCTCAGGTTTGCCTCTAGAAAAACAAAAAGAAATCTATCCCACGGAACCATATATTTTTCCGAGATAAAAAGCTAAAGCCTATGTGTTATTCTAGACTATAATCTAGCTCTGTGCCAAATTTTCATCCAGATCCGTTCAACCGTTCTGGCGTGATTGAGTAACAAACATCCATCCATCCTCACAAACTTTCACATTTATAATATTAGTAAGATTAGTATGATCATATTAATATATAGAAATGAGTTTTATAAATTTGGGTTTTAGATAAATAAGTAATAAATTATATATTTAAAGGTACACTTAAAATATAGTTTCTACCAATCCAATTAGACTTTCGTGAACACTTTGAATGTTAAATGTATTAGGATCTAAACAGTTAACATTATATTATGAAGATCTAGAACTGGTTAAACGATGAGATTATACCGCAAATGTGAGTCTACAAAATGACATTTAATATATATTGATGAATATTTTTATACTTTCAGAGGTCTATCGACGCCGTTCGGGTCGGACCTCAGCGATGGGCCCGAGGCGTGGTCGCGCGACGAGCCCGCCGCGCCGCTCGATTTAGCTCCAGCTATCATTACTGATCAACATATCTGTGGTATTTTTTAATATTAACTTCTTCAAATTAGAAACTTAATATTTTTTTTAATTAATTTTATTCTTTCAAATTTTAGAATTGTAATAATTATAATAATAACAGCTCAAATTAAATAAATAATATTTCATATTCAATTATAAAACTAAATAAAATAATATAAAAATGTTAAAAGTTAAAAAATATTGTAAGGTACTTTGGTGCTATTTTTCAATAGTTTAATTCATTTTGTTAATTGTGGGTAGGCTGTCTATAACAACTATATAATACCTTAGAAACATTCAACACCTCAGTCTCTCCCGTGACCATGATTGCTGTAAACAAAGCGTTCGAAACGTCGGGAACCAAAAATCAAAATAAATTCGCGAAAAAATCCGAAAAGATAGTTTTATTTAAAATGTCAAGTATTCGCGTAAATCTAAGAAAGTATTAATTATATTATCTGTGGTATATACTTATTTCTCAAGTTTTGATTCCTAATACAACTGGTGTAAGTAATACTTTAATATTTAATTTGACAAACAGAACGCAATATGAGACATGATTTACTACTAGTTAAGTAAGAGCCACAATGAAAAAAATGACAAATGCCAGTTTAGTCTTTATCATAAGATAGGTTAAAACTGAAAAATAAAATAAAAAATCCATTGTGTCATATAACGTACTAGCATTGCCCGCGGCTCCGCCCGCGTTCTGACGTTCAGATGACCAAAAACCAAATTCTTAGGTTTTCCATATTAGCATACTCTTACATTGCAGTTTTTGTATTTTTTCTCAGAAATGAGACATTTTCCTGCGGTAAAAAGGTCCTATATGTTGACCCGGATAACCAGCTATCAAACCATACCAAATTTCATCAAAATCCCTCCAGTGGTATTTCTGTGATGCGGTAACGGACAGACAGACAGACAAAAATTCTAAAAACTATAGATTCGGCCTCTTTGTCGATAATAATGTTTATTTTAATAAGATTTTCCAACTACTTCATGTACAAATTCGGCTTAGTTACAATTTTATTATAGATTTGCACTATGACTTTTATTGATAACATGAACGCTTTGTATTTGAAAATAAAAACGTAGAATCGAAAATATTTAATCACAAAAACAACTCAATTATCAATATAAGTATATTTAACAAAATAATTTTCATTGAAAGTATTTCGGAGAGCCAGAATTTTCGGAACAACTTATATTTTAAATATTAAAGGGAAGAAGAGAAACATGTCATGTTCGTTCACGTGTTAGACACGATGATTGAAAACAGATGTTATTTCAAAATATAAACTACTAGCGGCTCACCCTAGTCCCCTTCATCCCCTTTTCAACCCTTTGAGGGATTATTTCCGGGATAAAAACTACCCTATGTCCTTCCCAGGGCCTTAAACTGTCTTCATACAAAATTTCATCTAAATCGGTTATGCGGATTTTTAGTTTATCCATTACAAACAATTTTTTCTTCTTATATATTAGTATAGATTTCCATGCCGAACTCCATTTAAATCAATAGAGGCGTTACTCGTACAGAGGTTACAAATATACTCACTCTTTCCAAACTATCGCATTCATAATCGTATTAGGTTTGACTATGACCAGCAGTTTAAGATATTTGTATATCTACGTATTTAAAATATTAAAAGAAGGAACAAAAAATGAGCACATCACCCACATTATAGGTACAAGAAAACATTTAAAGACAACGTCGGCGCAGGATTAGTCTAATCTTGAAATTATTTCTTTTTTCGCTCGCCAAGAATCTATAGGCCACAGCTGTTCTTTACATAACATTATAATAACGGAAAAAAAGATGGGTTTTTATTAATATATTATTGTGGCTATGTTTTAAAATATCATTAATTGTTGTAAATATTTTGCACATTACAAGAGTTCCACATAGTTCCACATACGTAGTAGTTCAGGAGCGCGTAGAACAATAAACATACTCGTATTAACATTTATCTGCAACCAAAAAGAAAGCCATAAACTTTCCATGCGAAAATTTGCGGTGATTCGTTGTTTCGTCGCCGCCTGTGTGAAGGACACAATAACAATTAATAATAAACATATTTTTATCCACATTAATAATATTAGTATTGCCTCACTTCGCTCGGGTGCTCTCTAGTTAGATACCCATCGCATTTTTATTTTACGGAAATACGGCAGTTTTCAGAGTAGATGATTAATATAAAGTATACCACACCATTATATACTTAGTTAACTGATTTTTGCAAATATTCTAAAACATTTAAAAATTTAATTATATTTTCGGATTTTTTTGGGTCCCAACGTTTTGAATGCTTTACAGCAATCATGGTTACGGGACAGACCAAGGTTTTAGACGTCTCAGAGGCATAATATACTTGTAACAGACAATAGCCCGCAATTATACAAAATGATTTCAATAATTCAAAAAATAAGTACCTTACCTTTTAAAATGTTTAGCATTAAAATCACCAAACAGTACGTACGGCGTGCAGTAGTTACTGAGGCTAACTATGAGCAGCGGGGACTAGTTTATTAATGTATAGATAGAAATATAACGTCTCAACAGGCACCAGATACGTGGTGGGCGGCGAGTCCGGCATCGCGCTGGCGCAGGCCGCGGCCGTCGCGCTGTCGGGCGCGGTCGCGGGCGCCGCGGACGCGGTGGAGGCCGCGCGCGTGCTCGTGCTGCCCGGGGGCTCCCTGGCCGCGGAGCCGGGCCGCGCTCCGGGGCTCCCGCCCCCGGGCCCCCCGCCTGCGGGCCCCCCGCCGCCGGGCCCCCCGGGCCTGCCCGCCGCCAACGACACGGTACTCCCCGCCGTCAACTTCGTGCAACAGAAGGGCGACGCGTTGCTGTCGCACGCGGACAGCCGCGGCGAAGGACTCGCTTCACGGTTCTGATAAAATTATAGAAAATAGTCCATTCGATTGTTATTCTAAACGGAGTTTAAGTTGTGATAATTATCTTATGCACATAAAAGGGAAGCGAATTATTTATTGTTATTAAATTATTGCACTTATCATTGTTATATAATTGTTTTTTTTTATTCTTATGGTAATAATATTAAAAAAAAAACTTAAGTGCAATTGGGTGTGTGCAATTGGGTGTGTGCAATTCACACACCGTAGAAGTGAAACTTCAGAAAAGGAACCTACGAGAGAATGAGATAAATATAGAGTATCAGGAGTAGGATAATTATAAGGTATAGTTTTTGAAATTATACTTCTTTTGTTACGTTTGGAAAAAAATATGAGAGTAAAACGCACAAAAACTGACAAAAGCCAAAAAGTGACGTGATGAAGTTAGCTGCATACCAAGTTTAAAAGTTATTTTACATTTTATTTGACATAAATATTATTCAGTACATATTATTCAGTATTTAATTTTATTATGTTCACTTCCTGTGTTAATGTATTCTATCTCGAATAATTATTTAAATAAGGCATATTAGTCATATTCTTCGGTATAGACTATAGATCTAGAATCTACAAAGATATAAATCTATAAAGCTCACTTTATAAAAGTTTACTCGTTAAAAAGCTTGCGTGTACCAACGCAAGTTTTTTACCACAACAGTCTATGGCCCGATTTTCCACGTATTGAGAGGATGTGCCAGCAACGAAAAAATGAATTATTATTATTTTATTATTAAATAAAATTTCAAATTATTATGAATATATGGTAAAATTATTCCAAAAAATAACTGTATGGTTGCTCTCTTACAATATTGTTACAATTAATTAAATATTTAGATTACTTCTACGAAGTGACCGCGCTGACAGAGCCGCTACTGATTAAACATTTAAATGAGATGTAAACAGTGTTATCATCAATTTTTATCATAATTTTTTTATTTATAATTGAAAAGAACGTCGAAAAAAACTAATCGTGATAACGGTACTCATTAATTTTAAAGACTATGTTAATTATAAAGGCAGCCAAGTGCGACAGTTTTTTGTGAGAGTACTCGGGCTCGATATTTCTCTGAGGATTTTTTATTTACATTTAGGTTAAAAACGTTATGGTTCAGAAATAAAAACAAAAAAGGAGCAGAAAGCATAGTAAATATTATAAGATAACTAAACCATAAAATAATTTACAAATTAATATAGAGTTTGGTGTATATTTGACAGCGCCCAAGTGACCGCGAGTTTGATTCCCGGCTTATATCTTGGGAATTATTAACCACTAGCGTAGCTACAAGGTACGTTTTAAATGGATAAAAATAGTTACTCTGAGTGTAGCTTAGCAGATTGACGTATGCTATTGCGGACTTTTCTGTAGGCCTTTTAAGACCTACAATGTTTTTAGTACATCGATGTATGTATCTCTTGAAGTTTAGCCAGCGTTAGCCATATAAATTTCTAAGGTCGACTCGATAGAACCAGTTATTGTGTTTTACCGTAGGAATGAATTATTTTCCTCTAGTGAAGGTATCCTAATTGTTGAACCGAGTAATAAATTCAATTTAGTAGTTAAACCATTTAGTACTTTTTGCATAAAAAGTAAAGAGGTACTCGTATATAGACATACATACAAAGAGACAAAAATATCTATATATAATATAGTGTTTTTTTTTAATATTTCATGCACAGATTCCGCTTCGTTCCTATGTGGATATGTAAGACGTAGATGTAAATAAAGAACATATAGCCCCAGTTACAAAAGTGGTGTTATTTTGGTACTTTGTGTACAAAGCACTGTATACATCTATTATATTCAAACCTATTTGGGCAATCGCAATAATTGATAAGCATTTTATGTATTCTAGATAAGCAACTTGGCGGATACGTTTCTGTTTCGTCATTTGCTACATATACATATATTTAAAAATGATTCAACTAATCACGACTGGTTCAACTAATTAATGAACTATAATAAAATTAGTTTTTAACCAGTCTTTTCTTTAATGGCACGCTGTAAAATAACTTAAAACCTATACAAATAATAATTTAAATTGGAAATAACTAACACAATTTTATTATAGACTCATCAAATTATAATCGTTAAGATTTCAAACTTTACAATTCTGATAACAACATATCGGAGAAATCTAAATGGACGGTATGGATAGTGTTCATAAAAATAACTGCCCCACCTACGAGCTTAAATTCTTGTTTTAATATTTTCCTTAAGATTTATTATCTCATTAGTACACGACCGCTATAATTCGACTACAAATATTTTGGTACGTTTAAATCTATGTGTTTACTTGTTTTCTTAATTAAAAATAAAATGTTTTATAATAATAGTTAAAACAATCTAAACAATATGCTTATCAATTTGACTTTAATATGAACTAGTGGCTCACTCTGGTTCCGCTTGGATTCGCCTCATTCGCCTGTGCATTTTTCCCGAATAAAAAGTAGCCTATTTATTATTCTAATGTATGAGCTATATTACTGTAAAGTTTCATTAAAATCCATTCAGTAATTTTTGCATGAAAGAGTAACAAGCATCCATCTATACATCCAGACTAATATTAGTAGAATGATACCAAGTGTAATGGGCTCGACAAAATGAACTAAATTGGTCCAATTTTCTGGGATTTACGAGATCAATAAAAATTTCACTATTCGCCTCCTGGCTCTGTAGTCTGTGGTCAAATGGCTAAATTGTTGGAATGCCAAGTATATCATTTTCAAAATAAAACAAAATAATCCAATTTGAAGGCACGTGTAATGTGCCATATGATTGTTTTTGTAAGCTAATCGAAATAGTATGAGAGTTAGGTTTGGAGAGCGTGCTCTAGAAAGCTTCGTTGCGATGCTCGCAGGACAGCTCTACTGGCCAGCTTGAAAACTAAACTCCAAAATTAAACGACTGTTTCAAATAATATTAAAAAAGCTGCATGTCAGATGTGGATTCCCTGCATCACGATGCGTGTGACGAATTGCTAATTTCCGATATATTTCTAACACAAATTATATTGTTTAGTAAACAGTTGAATTATATTTTGTTTAATTTGTATTTTACATCAGTTTGGGAAATAAATATTATTTCGATTGATTAAAATTATACAGTGTTTGTTAAATAATGTTCGAGTTCACGCCCACTAACTACGTAAGTACTAACCATAGATAACTCTGGTGGGCCATCCTGTATCGACAAGTTCTTTGATAAGTTTACAAACATACATAATTTCTTATTTTGTTACATACAAGTCAAGGTAACAAAACTTTTTTGAATGAAATTGGTGAATGTTCAGTTGGACTCGGACACCAAGGATGATGTATGAGTATTGTAGTCTTTATATGTACTTATTTACCTTCACTGATTCCCTTATACATATTTCTCACCCTTTCACTTACAGTGATAATTAAATTTAACCTCAGTATGTACAAGTATAGCTAGAATAAATTTATAAAAATATATTATATAACAATTTCAAAAATCATTGAGGTCAGAGAGAAAAGTGAATGAGTGGTTACTTGTTTACCTTGTAATAATGTATGCCAACCCGCACTTGGCCAGCGTGGTGGACTATGGCCTGATCCCCCTCGTATTGAAGGGAGGCCCACACCCAGCAGTGGGACGTTAAAAAGGGCTGAATACAATACAATACAATGTATGTCCATCCATACGGCATACCATTATACTTTTACTTCTACAATTAGCTACATTTTTAATAGTGTTACAATCCTATGATTATGCTGTCTCCATGTGACATGCACTATGCCCGATAAGTCACTATGCACGTATAGTGCATGCTGTAATATGGATTTATATACTCTGACATTTTCTTACGTAAAAAATCTTTATATATGACTAACGACTCACCCTCGCTTTGCTCGGGTTCGTCCCTAGGTTGATTCCCCATACAAACTTTCATCCCCATTTTCACCACTTTAAGGGATGATTTCCGGGATAAAAGTATTCTATGTCCTTCCCAGGGTCTCAAACTATCTTCTTACCAAATTTTATTTAAATCGATTCAGTAGATCCAGAGATTATCCCCTACAACGTCACAAACGCACAAACTTTACCTCTTTATAATATTAATATAGATTTAAAAATTACATAAAGATATATTCGTGTAGGAATTTATATAAAAATATGTACAATAAACATATATACGACAAATTAGTACAAAACACCTGTTTAAAAAACCTGGTCTACAGATAATGAAATACGAGTACATAATATAATAAAACATAGGGAAACAATAACTGGTTCGGCCGAGTGGTCCTTCATACAAAAATTTCTATGATATATAATATATATACACAAAAACTATTAGAAGCAGGGTTAAAATTAACATATTTAAAATTTTGTCTAGTGAAATCTCTTATTTCCATAAGTAAATAAATACGTAAATAAATAAATACGTTAGTACATTAACACACAACACCATCTAGTTCCATGGTAAGCTATGAGGCTTGTGTTATGGATACCAGATAGTTGATACACTACACGTATGTATATATGTAACTTTAAATACGTACAAAGATTCGTGCTCATCACACAAATGAATGCCCCCAGCGGACTCGAACCCGCGATCTCTGGCACAGCAAGAAGGGTCACTACAAACTGTGCCAAACGTGTCGTCAAATAGCAAAATTTTATTCGAGTGCAAATCGCATATATATGTCTATGAGTATACGCATATGAAGTATAAAACAAAGAAGCTGCTCCGCCTCTACATATTTCTTCGCTTACTTCTTCTTTAGAAGAAACCGTGGTTTATCACCAACGGATTTCTGTTGTTTTGTTAGTAAAACTGTTTTCGTACGATTACACGGCTAATGCTGGCTAAGCCTTAAGATATACATAATTACAAAGAAATCGTCCAAGTGATAGTCAGACTCGCACACGAAGGGTTCCGTACCATTATCTATAAAAACGGCAAAAAAAACATGTCTGTTGTATGGGAGCCCTCTTAAATATTTATTTTAATCTGTTTTTTAGTCTTTGTTGAAGCATCAACAAAAATACATCATCTGTGAAAATTTCAACTGTCTATCACTGTTCATGAGATACAACCTGGTGACAGACGGATAGACAGAAGAAGGACAGCGGAGTCTTAGTAATAGGCTCCCGTTTTACCCTTTGAGTACGGAACCCCAATAAAAAAAACGCCACTGCATTAAAACGAACTAAAAAGATCAAGTCGACGAAGAATTAAAATTTTCAAAAAAAGAACGTTCGAATCTATCGAGTGGGGTGACAAAATACATTGTTTTTAAGAGTCGATTCCAAACATTTATGTAACTTACATATTTAAAAGTGATTTAAATAGAAAAATTATTGCTGCATAATACTATGTTCATTCATTACACTCTCTGTAGTAGTGCTTTTTTTCATGTTTCGAATTCAAAGAATCGTCTGTGATCCTCAGGGCCCCCTTGAATCAGGGGCCCCATGCGACCGCATATTTGGCATAGCTACGCTACTACTCTGTACAGTTACTCAGTAATCAGTAGTCAGTAAAAGCTAGCAAACAGAACACTAGCAAACGCTGTTGTATTTGTAATATTAATGAAAATTAAAATGATATATGCAAAATATATTTAATATTACAGTTAATTAATGACATTAGCAAATTGCAGTCTTTGACTAATTTGATAGGAATAAAAAAAAACAAAATAGAGAAAAAGAGTAAAGAGAGTAAAGAGTGAATATAACGCTGTAATTGCCAATTTATGCAAAATTAATTTTGAATTATTCAACGATATTATATAAAAAAAGATGCAAGAAAAATTTGGAAAATTTGATAGAAAAATTGGGAACAACTGTAAGTGTTTTTTCTGTATAGTTTTTAACATTACGTTTCATTTTTATATCTACTGTAACATTTAGAAGATTGCATTGTCTAATTACTATTGTTTGATATTTTAAATAATTTATAGATTTTACCGTGAAAATAAATAAGTAAAATCATAAAGTACAGTTCTTGTATTTTTTTACTTTTTCAAAATAAACCTGAAACCAAAACGAATAAAAAACAATATTAGATCGACTTACAGATATTTAAATATATCGAATTACATATATAGTAAACTGTCCGCGGCTTCACACGCGAAAGTTACCTTCTTATGAGGCATTCTTAAAATCGCCAATGACATGTTCTTACGTACGAGCAGTTGCTCTACAGAATTTTTACACTTACATTAATGCTCTACAGCAATCAAGGTCACGGGAGACACTGTCCCGGGGAGGATAGATTTACTTACATATTACTTAATATTATAGTTTAAATATACAATATTCAGGAAAAAGTATGTATTATGCTGATAAATAAAGACGTTACAGCGCTAATTGTAGCAAAGTAAGCGCATAGCAAGTAAAGCAAAACAAACAAGTATAGATAAATTAGAATCTTGTTACGTCGCAAGCAAAAAAGATTTTAATATGTATTTTCGCTATTTTAAAAATGTAAATATTTGTTATGAACTATAAATATCTTGATACAAAAATATACTCTGCGAAAACAGACGAGTCAGATTACAGATAATAAAATGCGCTTAGTATATTCATATCTATACCGTTCACACATTTTCGACTCAAATGCGATGTGCGCCATTCTATCAAATGTCATAGAAATTAAAACACGTTGACAAATTCATTTAAGTTTATTTATGTAATGTATTAAACTCAAAATGTTTTAAAGTTCCACTGAAGGGCACGGGTCTACTCTCTATGGGAATCAGGCCATAGTCCACCACGCTGGTCAAGTGCTGGCGGACTTCACGTCTTTCGAAAACTTGCTAGGGTCTTTCAGAAATGAGATTTCCTCGCGATGTTTTCCTTCACCGTAAGAGAAGTGGTAATGATGATTGAAATAATTTGCACGTGAAAATAGCAGAGAAGCGAGACCCGGGACTTAACCCGCTTCACTCGGATTCCCAAGCGAGCGCGTCACCACTGGACTACCGCTGCCTATTCAAGTTTATAGAACAATATAAAACTCGCTACACTTACACAAACAATAGGCGATAATTCACCATCCATACAGCTCTTGATAGAGTGTAAATGGTTCATGCGCAGGTTTAGCAATGATAACTACAGCAAGCATCAGGGCTGTCCCACTCGATCACTTGTATCGCGTTAGATTTAAAACAACATTTTTTATGGCTCTCATTAAATCTAATAGATATATAAATATCTCGTGTCACGGTGTTTGTGGTCGCGCTCCTCCGAAACGGCTAGACCGAACTTAATGATTTTTTTTGTATATTTGGTAGGTACGAGAATAGGTGCAAAGTATTTTTCACGCTCCTCCCCCCACCCCCTATTTTTTAATAGCGCTTTTAGTATTTTTGAATGAACAATATTATATAAATACATAGCGACGAACCCGAGCGAAGAGAGGGAGAGTCCCAGTATACCAAAAAGCCAGTTTTATTTTTTGTAGAACGCGGGCGTAGCCGCGGGTTCTGCTAGTTACTTATAAGAATATACTATTAGTCAAACAGAAACACTCATAATAAGTAACTGCAAACACTAACTTTGCATGTATCTTGTATATTAATATTTGAGATAAAAAAACTAAGAATTACCTATTGAATGTGTTTGTGTGCCACACTCGGGAGTCGACCCACAATTTTTCTGAATTTCATTAAGTGAAATATTCAATATCTAATATTCTTGTCTAAGTTGAAAAAAAATATCAAGTTGAACAACATTTAAAGCTCAATTCTCAATTGGACAAAAACGTTATCTTAATCGTGTGTCGTAAGAATTTACAGATTTGCATTTAGAAAAATAAGTACATATAATATTTTTATTTTTTTTTTAAGTTTTACAGTATCAAAATAGTAGGAGAGTTAAAAAATATATGCGTGTTAAATTAAAAATATTAATAATTAACACCTCCAGGTAAATTTCTAAGAAATTAATTAAATTTCTAAGAAATCTATTGTTAACTGTAACGCCGGCGTGTCCGCGGACGTTGAGGGATTAAAAACGTATAAAAAAAGTGTTATCATCTATGTACAACAAAGGCTTTACGTATAACGCTAAAATATTATGAAGGTTATTTTTATTATATAGGTCTATAGGTAATAGGTCTTATTATATCATAATAAAATTCGAGTTAGCCTCGCGTAGTGAAGGGTTCATCCTAGGGTCCGACCTAGGTTATGAAAATTTAGATAAATTTAAAAACTATTTTTGACAATTCATTACTTCCTAAAAACTATAGGTAAAGTCATTTCATTCGCTTACTTCGCAATTAACTCTCTTTTTGATACATATTAATGTTCTAATTTGTCCACAAAATTAACCTTCAAAACCAGATTTTATTATTTATTTACACAATACTCGTTTCCGTCATTGGGTCACGTAAACAACTAAATAAGTACCAAATATCAATATTTTCTAAGTTGATTAGACAAAAAACTGTGATAGATAGACGGGAAGATGAGCGATCCTGTGAGAGTTCCATTTTGTCCTTTGAAACCCTGAAAAATATTTATTTTATTTTTTTAAATAACTCTACGGTGTTACGCATACCAAGTCATAAACAAAACTGAAATTACTTTAAAAGATTTTTTTTTAATTGTCCTGAATGTATAAATTTCATAATTATATAGTTTCTTACACGAGTTATATTTCCAGCGAAGTTTGTTTGATTGACGTTTATTGGTTCAGTGACTGCGCAAGTTGCAACACGAGGCCGCAGGGCTGGCGAACTTTCTTCTAATACAAAACATTTCATTTTGAATTTTAACTAGCTAATCTAGTTAGTAATATATAATAAATTATTCAAGCGTGAGTCTGTGTTAAAAAAAACTTAGGGTTTTCGCATGGTTCCTGTTATCTAATAGGATAGAGAGTGAATCTCTACATTAAATAACTTAAAAATAAGAAATACACTTTAATTGTTCTCTTATGAAGGGCTGTTTTGTAATTGAGGCATGCTTACTTAAATTGAAGTTTTTGTAAATTAATATTCGTTGTTGATTGGTATTTATTAAGTACACAACCATATAATCTAATTATTTTCTTGCCTGTATTTAGTCTTATTTGAACGAGGCACAGCCCTGCATGCAGCGATGCGCTCGCGCAGTGTACACATTCATAAGTGGTCGACATTGAACTAATCTTTTCATATTTGTTGCGCAAATCTAGGGATTTCTAGATAAATATTTTCGTTTTGAATATACAAGTTATTATAATTTCTTATAAAAAGTAGCATTTAACTTTTCATTGTTATAGTAAAGTTACACACGTAATGCTAAGAAAATACCACGTAATAAACTTAAGAATTATTGTAATATTTTGCGATCCTGCGAACAAACAAAACAAATAATATTATGCCTTTCAGAATGTTCGTCGGTTTCCCAGACTTTGTCCGGGTATTTTTTAATAGTATTGTTGCCTAACAAACAACAAACTTTATAAGCCGTTTTCCTGTGGAGTGATATATAATCTCATGGCATTATGGGAATAGCAAGCGCGTCGACGCAAGAGTACACAGTAATGTAGTAGATATATAAAGGTATAGACAGATAAAACTCAGAAAACTGCTGATAATCGGCAAAACCATACAAACATTCGTAATGCTATAGTTGCATTAGTTTGCGCGCTGTTACTGTTGCAATAAAGTATCGGGAATATTGCACATGAAAACTTTTTATTACCAACAATAATTAGAAGTAACAATATCCACAGTACATAAATGACGACATCTGATGTAACTGTTTCGCTATATTTATGGACACCAGTCCGTTATATCGTAAAACAATCCTCCGGCGTGTGTTTGTGCGTGACGGTCATTTTCAATGACTTTCATTGCACTCTGGTACGACTGCACTTGGTTGTTTACGTCATATATCGCAATCTGTTTACGTCAAAGTGTTTGCTGACTGAAGTTACATAACTCACTGGGCTTTATTTTTCTTATAAGAGTTTTTTAGTGTTATTAAAATACTAAGAAACTGAAATTTCTGTGGTGTTATTTAAAGACGTCACGCCTTCGGTTTAATTGCTATGCGAGGCGATGTGACGTCATGAAGACACTTAGAACCTCTCGAGCACGACCAGTTAAGAAAGTTCCATATAAAGCTTTTTTCGAACTGAACCTAGTCTTCTTTTCGTTAAGGAACTCCCTTTACTTACCTTGGGATCTTATCATCAGACAATCAACGTAATTATATGAGATAGCCGCGCTAGTAATACACCTATACGTATAGTACCTAAAATAGTAACAAGGCAAAATGTGTACATAGAATATTCTTAAATTCAACGACTGTTAAGTATTGTGTGCAGAATGTAGACCCCAAAACACTGTGTTGGTAGTTATTGAAATTTTTGTCTGTTTATCTGCTTGCTTTTCTCGCAAAAAGTACTAAACAGATTTTGACTTTTGTAGCGATAACTTCAAATCTCTCATTCCCACGAGAATATAAAACACAATAATTGTTGGGTCGAGTTGTCAAATTTCTATGATATATTACACAAAACTATTGGTAGCAAGCAGGTTTAATAATAAACATTTTTAACTATTGTGTGCGGCAAAATCTCACAATTTCATGGGAAAATGCAAAATTTAGTTTGAGCTGAAATCGCTCATCTAAGTCTATACATAATATAAAACAAAGTTTGTCTCTGTCTGTTTTCACACTTTAATATAAATTTATAAACTATAATTTTACTTGCTTTGGAAACGAAGGTAAGTTACTAGTTTAAAAAAAAAAGAATTACGCAAATCGGCCTAGAATTTGAAATGAAGAACTATATAATTCCTTTGATAGGTCTAAAACCTTACACTCTCCCGTGACCATGATTGCTGTAAAGTAAAATAAATTCGCGAAATAATCCGAAAAGATAATTTCATTCAAAATGAATCTTATTATGTCCATTTGCATACAACTATGTGGGTACTGACTACATATTGAAACACAAACAATAATCAACAAATAATGTACTTATACAAATAACAAAACATATTATATTACGTAGTTGTAAGGCGCGAATTCTTATAAAACAAGTTTACGTAAGGTTTAATACTAAGTGCTACAATTTTTTCTTTTATTTATGATAAAGAAATAATTATACAAATTAATAATAAAGATATATATTATAAAACTTAACGTCATAACGTCACCGACTGTTTGTTTCATCGCCATCTTTATAACTTTAAAATAGCTAAACATATTTTAATAGGATTTTTTACTGTGGAGTTAAAATCTAAATTACGAATACAGTTAAGTTTAATTTAAACCGGTACATTAGATCCTCGTTCTATTAACGCTTTGTATGAGTCGGGATGATTGTGCAGAAGACAAGTAGACACAGAATTAAAAATGAAAAAAAAAACATATATTTTGATATATCCAATACTAGAAAATAATCGTACATGTAAAGTTTCTCTTTTTGCACTCGTTCCTCATCACATCTGACAATAATATATTATCTTATAATAAGTGAATAGGTACATCAACACGTCAAGGGCAGTCGTAGCCCAGTGGTAACGCGCTCGCTTGGGAAACCGCATGAACCGTTCAAATCCCAGGTCGCGCACCTATGATATTTTCATGTGCAAATCATTTCCAATATAATTACCACATGTCTTACGGTGTGAAAAAAAACATCGTGAGAAGCTTGCATGTCTGAAAGAACCTAAGAAATTTTACGAAAGACATGTGTAATGCGCAAAACCGCACTTGGCCCGCGTGATGGACTAATGATGATTCCCATCGTATTGAAGGGAGGCCCGTGCCCGGTACTGGGACGTTAAAAAGGGCTGAATACAAGTAAATACAACTTAAAATAAATATCTCTCGTAATTACCATATTATCACTTTATAATATTTATTAAAGTACAATCGTTGTTTGATACACTCTGACACATAGAGGTGAGTTGGAGTGAAGTGCGCCAACATAATTTATTTATACGTCGTAAAAAACTCGCAATACTTTATGGACGCGTACGTGTCATATTATTATAATTATTTATTTAGTATGTTTCATTCATCGTCGGTCTTATATATTCATAGATTTGATACAAGCAACTAACTGTACGATCCTCACTTATAATAGTCCACTTGAAACAAACTTGATATATTAACATTAAAGTAGAGTTAAAAAAAAACAAAAATAGATTGAAGTACAAGACCAGGGGCAATTTATATGGACTTTACGCTGTACAGTAAAGGCTGTGCTAAACCGATATTTAACTACAAGTCATCTAAGTAGACAATAACCCCGTAACAACAGGCCCGAAGAATTGTAAGCTGGAGTTAGGTACATATCTTTTACTCGTATTATTGTCGAAGGTGTAGCATTAGTGAGTCATTTGTTTTTGAGTGATTGAAATTGCATTACGTTTAAAAATAGCCTCAACACCTCCTCCGTAGCTCTAGATGAGAGTGAAGAAACTCTTATTAAGTAGACGGTACTTTTCGAGTCTCGGCTCTTTTTATCTTTTTCGTGATATTGTTTACAATGATTACTTGATAAAATATAGGTATAGTCTTAACAGACAGGGACGATGACTTCAGTCATTACCTACACACAATAATGACAATGTAAAATATATTTTTTAATGATCTCTAGAAGAGATCATTAAATTATATAGAGAAATAAATTAGTTACAAAATCATAATAAAAAAACATTTACCGGTGGCGGGTTGGCAGTCGGCATCGCGAGCGCTGCGCCTCCTCGTGACGCGACACGAGTGTGACGCATCACGAACGTCGCCGGGCGTTAATAGCATACTATTGTTATATTGTTTGTTTTCCAGCTCCTTCTCCCGCTCACACACATCACGTACCTACAGTGAGATCCAGATAGACGTTTGAGGTACAGCTCCTGCACTCTGATAACTGCATCTTATACATAATAATTAATCTACATAAAACTAACACGTATCTATACTATATAAATATAATTTAGTGCTATTAGCTATAAGCACGATATCAAACAACCATTAAATCTATTAATTCCCATTCATCACTAGAACAGGTTTCAACGGGTCTAGTCAGTCTATCAGTGGCATATATAGGATTAGTCCCTGGATGGTATGGGCTATTTTTAGCACTGGTAAGAAAAGGAGTCCCGGTAATGAATTTAACTTTTAAGAGCATTTTGTCAAGGGGTATTAAGAGCCGAAGCGAAACGAAGGCTGGTCGCTAGTTAGCATCAATATTATACAGTTCGAGGAGAAAATGCCGCCTACGTTCTCGTCAACATAACGTGTTTATTACTTGAGTAAATCGCAGTAATACGGAGCGTGACGTGTTGTTGTGTAAATGTGTACTTACTACTAATATTAAATAGTATTTTTGCGAACAATAGACTTCGCGAGCAAAAACTGCATTTTGAGGAGCTATTCTCACGCCAAAGATCCTCATTAGATCTTCACCAAATTCTTATGAGACGAATTTAAATTTACTACCTTTCAAATAAAAAAAGAACCATTGAAATCGAATCCCATAAGGCAGAGGTATCCTGTACCCCCTTTTTTGCCTAATTTTGGAGGAAGCACCCCTGAAATGAAAAATTCCCGACAAAATAAAATCTATAATGTTGTTAAACCTGTGTACCAAGTTTCGTTCAGATCGGTTGTAAAATACGACCTTTAGAGGAGTACCAATAAACTGACAAAGGAAAGCAAATTTTGCCAGACTTGAGCAGAAACGCTTTGCTCGCTCGGTCAATAACTTCATGGTTCTTTTTGTCTATGAATAATCAGTCTTTACTTAACGGCTTGTAATATCTCAGCATGATATTATTTTTACGCTTATTTAAACAGAATCTCAGCAAATAATTGCCATTGATTGTACAGTTTATTGTGTGAAATATGCGGGTCGACCTTCTTCCTCTGTGTTGTTTAGTCACTGTTAGTCATCTAACAACTAAACAACACATTTCAATCTAAAGCAACATAATATTTGCTAGTTTATCTTCCTATTTTTTCTTCCTACTAGTATGTCCAAATTAAAGAATGTCGAAATTTGTTTACATCTAAACACTCTTAATAATTGAACAAAGTTTACAATATTATTTTCGGGTACCCACTTCATCAAAATTTTACGAGCTCAGAGTCCTCAGTGCATATACTATATAGGGGTGTAAGTAAACTACTAACTACATATTTCTTTATCTGTTACTTTTGCAATATGACTTTGTAATCATGATATCATTGAAGATAAATAATCTTATTCAAGTTACATATTCTTTGTTAACAGAACACACAATATTATATTTGGAAGGCGAACTTGTAGTACCTACGTGTAGGTCGTTGATCTCCTTCGGTCGGCCTTCACGACTTAAACATTTAGGTTTATGCGACGCAATCAAAATATGTTTACAGCAGGTCCGGCGCAACTGAGTGTTTACAGTTTGTTTACGCGATTTGTTATCTCGATCCTTGCTTCCGCGTGGATGTTATTATGAGTATATGATAAGGCCGCAATATTGATTGTTATCAACTCCCTTACTTTCAGTTCTCAAGAAACCGAGAATTAAAAACAATGGCTGATTATTTTTTTAATATTTACTCCTTCCTTTTTCAAAATTCGTTTAAAAATCAATACTTTTCCAAGAAATCAAATATATACAAGATAGCGTAATACAATCTGTTAAAATACAAATACTGATTTTAATCTTACTTTAAAAATGAAAAATATTAACGTATCAAGAATTAAGTTAGTTGGTTCATATTTGTTGAAGATATCGCGTGTATACTGTATACACATAAAAACATACCAGACGGAGAAATTAAAAAAAATATATACAAAAGATAATAAATAATTACGAAACTCTTATTATGTGCAAACTGCAAATAGAGCGTCAGAGCGAGCCCGTGACCTCGCGGCCAACGCCGCGCCGCTACTTGCCACAGTTGCCAATTTTTCTGAGATGTAATTTTTCAATAGTGAATTATTTTAAAACTTCAAAATTTAACAGTATCACCGGTGGTTTTAATTCTTTCTAACGACGTCAATTTGGCACCAATGAGCGAGAACAAATTTATTTTTAATCTTACAAAATCTCTTTCATTTACTTTTTTTCTCTCTTATCTACTCGTATCTCTTGTTGATGGACATAGTGTTTGTCCGCAGCGGAGACTGCTGATTTACCTACTTAATATTCGTTTAGAGTCCACATGATGTCGATGGATATATTTACTTATAATTTAATAAAAATCACAGTTACACAACATTCTAAAATTACAGAACATGCGATGGCCGTACGAACAGCTGCAGGACTTTTTACAACAAGTCTCTTCGCTCTATAATTTCCTGATAGACGTAACAATAATATAATGGTTAGAGCAACATATTTCTTTTTTAAATATCTGTAAATATTAACAAGACGCCTGCCGCGTTCGTCTCAAGTCAGTGCATTTGCGACGCATTAGAGCGTGAGATAATTGATTTAGAGTTTATAAGGTGTTTTTATTTATCTATAATCACACTATTATTATAGAAATAATTTGTATATATGTGTATGTTTGTAACTTCCTTTCTTCCTTCCCGCGGAAACGGTTGGACGAAATAGTAGTTAGTTATTGTTTAAAATAAAATTTAGGAAAGCACCCGAGCAAAGCGAGAGTACGTTACTAGTATTATATAAAATATATTTCATGTCAATACTTTCAATACCTTAACGCGATACGAACTATGTGTACATGTTTGTTTTTAGTACTAATAATATTACATGACATATATCAACTTGAAACAGCTCAGAAGGATTTTCCAAGAAAACAAATAATTGGAATTAACAATTATATTTATTGCTTTCTCTGAATACTCATTTTACATTTATATTTGAATGCGAATCATCGAATGTCCACTTGACACAACAAAAATCCACTGTCAAGTCCACAAACTGGCACACAACATAACTGAATGTTACAAACTTAACTTTTTCTTTTTCTTTTAAACAGGCGAAACGAAACAACATATAAAAACTCTTTTAGTGTTTCGCCACACGTCCACACGTACACAGGTACGTATTAAATAGATAAATATAATTTCTGTAAGCGTATATTAGGAGATAGCGTTATGAAAAATAGACTTTTTTGTCAAAAAACTGTCATAGTTCAGATATTTTTACAAAATATTTTCAAATTATATACACTTGAACCTTCCTCTTTCTGTGAGAAAAAACAATGTCAAAATCTGTTCCGAAGTGGAAAAGAAGTAAGCGGAGAAACAGACTGAGGCAGACTCCGACTTTGTCTTATACTATTCATGATGTACAGACGAGCGACTTACGGTCTAACTATATTTTAAATTTTCTCATCTCAAATTGTTAAATAAGTTAATATTATCAACCCTGCTACTAATAGTTTTTGTATTCTAATAGTTCTTGTGAGTAATAACTCATCCGAACCAGTTATTGTATTTTCTTGTTATGGATGAACCGAGTAATAAGTTATCACTACACATTACTTAAAATGCGCTCATTACTTTTTACATAAAAACGAAATAGATATATGGACAAACAGACAAAAATGTCAACAACTATTCTTTCGTAGTTCATACTCTGTTCATAATACGTAGCAGTCATTGTTTTTATAAATTATTTTATTATATAATAAAGATAAATGTGTTTCACAGAATAACTACTTGCATATATTATTTTAAAATATGAATTAAAAAGTTAATAAAGAATGAAGATGCATCGAAGTGGTGTCGTCACAGACATTGCAAAGCCTTTTTTTAACGTTGGCATATAGCGTAAATATACCATTTACCCATATCATCTGCGTACATATATGTGGGACTCATCGGCTAGAAAAGGCCGCAACATCCACTCAACGGAACCTCCCCCATCATAATGTAGCGTCGCAGGAAAGTTTACGCACTCAACCACTACGCCCCGACGGCTGCCTGCCGATGCTAACCACAATAACTATGGGGTTGATGCCATGATCCACTTTGTTGTTAGAGAAGTACCAGGCAAGCCGCATGGCATACCGCCCACTGAGGTGGGCCACCACGGGTGGACGATGGTGCGATTCGTGGCTTCACGCCCAGCGGGATTGTGCAGGATGCTAATGAACACCTCCACAACTACAAAGTGAACACACATCGGGGGAAGACACTTGAAGCCTGCAATCCCTTAGATCATGGGACTTTTGGTTAGTTATTAAAGATTCCACATACAACTCCATTCGTCCTAAACGCCTGGCTCATAAATAGTTACAAAATCCAAAAAATTTTAATTACATTTCTATATGCTCTTTCTACGTGCAATTGTGCCTGTGAGAATGCTATACGTCATACATACATATATTCTGTACGTCATATAGGTACAACTACAAAAGGCAAACAAGAAATTCAAAACATTATAAAGTAATAAATAAATAGGAGTAAAACTATTTACTTATCTTATTTTAATTGCTCAGATTGTTGTTGTAATTTTATAGATTACGAGGTCAAGATACAGCAGCTATTGGTCAATATTTATATTATGGCATATAAAAACTGTTTCTGTTTAAATGAAAACAATAAAATATTTACTTAATAAAGAATATTACAATAAATATATATATATTGTTTATACTTATTCGTATGATTTTACACTTGAAATAATACATAAATAAAGTCTTGAAAAATTCTTAAAATCTATGAAGAGATATTCTTTTATAGACTTCTTGATTTTCGTTAGAATAATTGGAGTACAAAACGGTTACACGCTTTGTCCAAAATGACCATCATTTTGCTTCTACCGAAAGCAAAAAATGATAATTATTAAAAAAAT